ACTACCGTTATTGAATCAAATAAAATTAAATCATCTTTTTCGCACAGAAAAAACTGTATAATAGCGTCACAAGAATAAATAATAAAACTAAATCCTAAATGCTGTTAGTTAGAACTCAAATGTAACTGAACAGTATCTTAATTCGATCGGCAACTGAAACAAATCTTTCATCACAGTGTAGGGAGCTTGTTCTAAGAGTATGCGTTTGACCGCTCTCCCAAATTTATCTTTGTCTTGCTCCACTTTCAGGGGTTCTGGAAACACATTGAAAAACCTAATGCTATTATAAAAGAGGTGTCTCTCAAAGAACCTTGTCCTGTGCTTAGGTAGCTTAATATTGTTTTTGTGCCTGAGAGTGTACTGCATTGAATGGAACTATGGTTGATACAGATGATAATTTATTTTTTAAAACGATAGACAACTCAGTATGTAAATGGATGGAAATGTAAGAATATTGTATTCCTTGAAGAGAGGCTTGCGAGAAGTAGACGGGATATTCTAAAGGCAAGAAGACGGGATATTCCGTCTTAGAGCTTTTTTTCTGAAGACAGGAGACAAACTTTGTTCGTACGCTCTCATGGCCCCAAACTGCCACCAAATACGACAACAATGGGTAATCAGTCCATAATAGGCAATCAAGGTCACACGAGAATCGGTAAACTTCGAAAGACCTCTAATCACAAAAATTCCTGTGCTAATTCCTCTGGATATGAGCTCTATATGGTCATGAAAGTTGAGCTGCCTGTCTAAGACCAAACCAAGAAACTTAGCATTGCTGCATGAAAAGATTTCTTCGTCACCTACCAAAACAGTCAGTGGAACTTGCTTTTTTCAGCTGTTAATATGGAATCGGAGCATTTTTGTTTTATTGCAGTTTATAAGAAGCTTGTTGTTTTGGAACCATTGCAAAGCTCTATTAGAACTCTCAAATGCTATTGTCTCTAGATGAGCCACGTCCCTAGCTGAAACACAAAGTGAGGTGTCGTCGGCATATAAACAAACATCTAAATTTGAACTTGGATTATTTGATACAAAAGAAGGCAGGTCATTAATGAAGAGCAACAACAGGATTGGACCGATAATAGAACTCTGGGGAACTCCCCGAATTACAACAGACGAAGCAGAGGTAGCATGATTACGAATTCCTTGGGAGTCAACGAAGGGTATCCGGACTGATACCCTCCGGGTTGAGTTCTTCCTTGAAGAAAGCATGACACCCATTCGTGAGCTAAGCTCCATACTCCAAGATGGTAAAGCTTTCCCAGAAGAGAAGGGAGATTAACCATATCAAAATGCTTAATGAAATGGGAAAATTTATTCCCAGTGCAGCGTCTCCAGATTCTAGGGTTCCTGACAAGAATGATACAACATGATTGACTGCGTCGAGGGTCGAATTTCCCTTTATAAACCCAAACTGGTGGGAAGACGTTCAAAAACTTTGTAGAAATTTGAAGTTAAGGAAATTGGTCGATAGTTGCTACAATCATATTTGCTTCCATTCTTATGAATGGGCCTAACAATCAAGAATCAAATATCAAGAATCAAGAATCTTTATTGCCTTTGATCCATACATACAGACATTGGCATTGTCAATAAATTAAATAAATAAATGCACATGGTAACAATAATTACAAATACTTACAAATGCTAAATTAACAGTAACGGCACATAGAGGTGGTGAACAATAATAACAATAACAGTCAATAACATGACAATAGACAATGGACAATAGACAAAATCTTTATTGAAATATTCCTAGAGAACATTCATGCGTCAGGTACATAAAATGTACAGTATGTACGTAAACTATTACAGTAATTTGCAATTACAATTAGAATTTTTTTTTCTCTTTTTTTTCTTCTTTTTTTCATGGTAGCTTATTGTTTAAGAATTCATCCTCAGAGTAGAACGGCCGGTCCATAAGCCATGTTGTCAGGTGCTTCTTGAGCAGATTGGGTTGTTCTCTCTTGAGGTGCTCTGGTAGGTTGTTAAAGTACAGAGCACCTTTGTAGGATGGTTTCTTCTCGTACAGACTCAGATGGTGTTGTGGGAGGGAAAAATTGGTGGCATGTCGTGTGTTGTGCTGGTGTATGTCTCTGTGTCTTGGCTGGGCTGTTTTAGTGGTGTGGATAATGACTTCTCTTATGTAGAGTGAAATTGATGTGAGAATATTAAGGTTCTTGAAGGCTTCTCGGCAACTGTCTCTGTAGTTCAGGTCGGCAAGACATCTAATTGCTCTTTTTTGCTTTAGGAGTACTCTTTCCAGGTTGCCTTTTGATGTTCCACCCCAAGTCGCAATGCCATATCTGAGGTGGGACTCGAATAGAGCAAAATATGCAACTTTGGCTACTTCTGGGCTGCAAGCTTGCTTGATCCTACGTATAACGTAGAGACTTGAACTTAGCTTTTTGCAGAGCTGGTCATGAATTAAATCTTAAAGCCAATAGTAACAGGACATGATAAAAAATCTTCTATTTTATAAAAAGGATTGGCAATAAGCCACTCAGATATTTTAAATTTAAATTGTTTCATAGTCATAAATCGGGCAGTGTCAGGCAGTTTATTGATAAAATCTGTTGTGGTTAATTTTAAAGCAGTTTCCTGTTTTTGCTATGCGGTGCTGGGGAAGGTCAAATTTGTCTTTTCCTCTTGTATTGTGGCTATAGAATGTTTTCCTATTATTGAAATCTAGTAATATGTAGTTTGGTATAAATGAGAATGTGGTAAATGTAAAGATTAATAAATGTCATTACTTTAGTTTTATAAAAAGTGGTTTTGCAATGTTTGGTGTCACTTGTCCTAAAAATTGTTCTAATGATGTTTTCTGTATTTTAAGTATACAAAACCCGAATAGCAGCAAAGAGTAATTCCATACGAAAGATAGGACTGACAAAAAGCATTGTAAGCCACGAGTATTTCGGAGTGAGTAACTGTCAGTGTGACAGGAAGCAACATCAAACATGTCAAGATTCTTTTTAAATAACGACAGTGTCTCCAATATGTACAAAGAAGGAAATGTTAGAATGTTTTACTGCCACTGCCTAAAGATTTCTCTACACGATTGTTTTTTTGAAAGGGAGAATATTGCTCTTAGGGCTTTTTTTGGAGACGAAACAATAGCAAAGTTCTTTGGTTTTCACTTCCCCAGACAGATACAGCATATGATAGATATGGGAAAACGCATAGTATGCGGACAGAAGCACCTCATTACCAGCCTTTTGTTTCAGAGTTCGTAGAACAAAAATCCCAAACAACATAACAAACAAAACAGATGAACAAAAATTTGTAGAAAAAAAGTGGAAACTTTACTGGTTACACTTTCAATATGATGGTGAAATTTCAGATTTTCGTCCATTATCACACCAAGAAACTTTACACTTTGGGACGAGGTCACTACTTTGTCTTCTAGAAGAACATTAAGGCCACAGCTGTTTGCTGACGAAGACCTATTAGACATGTGAAAGTTTAACATTTGAGTTTTTTCCGCGTTCAAAATCAGCTGGTTTTCATAGGACCATTGCAGAAGACTGTTCGATTCTAGAAATGCCATTAGCTCCAATGATTCCATAGATGGACTGGAAAGAAGCTTAATTTTTTAATACTCTCTCTCCAGAGGACGGAGTCAGATTCTAGAACCCATGAAAACATTGTAATTTTTTTACTAATGTTGGTGGAAAATGTCTCAAATAATCAGTTAGATTATGTAAACTAGCCATTAAAAAACTGCAATTGAAGAAGGAAAGATAATATTACTGTTGAAAATATTGTAAACAACATTTCTGTAAATAAATTCAAATACTTAAATGGATGATGAACTGAGAAATGTTAAATAAATATAAAATATCCACTAACGAAAAGAGGCTGCAAAGGCTTTCAATTACTTTCCACGGAATTCCCCACAGCTTTAGGAGCTTTGAATGAGTTTAATTCATCTTTATTGATTTCCACCTTAGTGAAACTCACCCTCTTTAGAAAATACAGTATTTGAAAAATGAATGTTAAAAACCTTTACTGGTGTTCAGTTTATTTGTGAATTTTAAATGTATGGAACAAAAATTGGGTTAATAGTTCAGCATGAATATAATAGGTCAAATCATTAATTAACACAAAGATTGTTAACCAATTTCTAGTTGATTTATCATATTAACAAATAAATATGGTTAACAAAATTTTAATAAAAAGAATACAGCGACGAATCTAATGACCATAACCAATACCAACAAAATTGAATGAATATTTACTGATTGAAAAATAGTTCTGTTCATAAAATAAAATTACAAATGCCTCAAATTCTGACAATAAATGTAATCGTACTCTAATCTAAATCTTAGACAAAAAGTTAATGCCTCTGGTAAGATTCGATCCGGCATCCTTCAGTTCATTAGCCCGTTTCGCTATCCATTACACCACTGAGGTCAATGGCTTATCACCGTTGGTAATGGTGCTTGAGAGTTTTCTATTTGCCTGATTATAATTTCAAAAAAATAAGCTAGAAATTTTTATAACTTATTTTTTTGAAATATTTGTATTTACACTATTGACAGGTTAGGAACTATTGTGATTGCTTTCCGTTTATAGTACAAAGCATTCAACATCTGATTTGATTATACCTTAAAATATATCATTGATTTTTGTATCTTAGGTAGCCCAATTAAGTGTTTTCAGTCTGAGTTGACAAAAACATACTATTATCAAGTTAAGTAATACAGTTCAATTTCGTTTCTAAATTACATGGTGTATTGAAACAATTTTTAAGCCATTTTCAAAGAACAGACAATGTCCCTTTTGCATACTGACCCCGTTGCAAGGGACTAGCTGCTAATAAACAAAAAACAATTTGGTGCTAGAATAATTTGCAAATAATCTGCTAGCATCATAAATGTTATCAATATACTTGAATAAGAAAACACTTTAGAGCTTATTTGATCAATTTCTTTAACAAGTTTAATCCCTAATTGAGATTCTCAAATGACGGTTCTAACTCAATATGAAATGTCTAGGTGAAGTTACATGTTATTGAAGATGTTTCAGTTTAGAAGTAAATTTGTTCAATGTTTAGACATTATTTGGAGACATATACCTCATAAGTTAAGTTCATGTGCTGTTACCTTAGCCACGTTTGCCTTTGGAATTACTTGTAAAGGTAGATATTTATTACAATATAAGTTTAAAATACAAGAAGAATGTTTTTTTTTAATGTGTTAGAAGCTTAGGAGGATCAAAAACTAAGAGGTGGTGGTGTTTTAATCTACACAAAAAGTTTAAGTCACATTTATGTCAGCATAATTTTATTACTTTTGAAAAGCTCTATACAAAAGTATACATACAGTTAGGGCAATTAATTAATTAACTTTAATGGCTCAGTAACTATTTTCTACTGCTTTCACCCCAAAATGTAATAATGTCTAGTAGATCCTGATAAACCTAATATCTAATATACTAGGGCTATACTTCCTAAATTTGACTTAAATTAAAATTGCATACCAGTACCAACATTATATTTCCTTTTACTTGTGTAGCACCAGATTTAAAAGTATTTGAGGCTGATGTTTTTTTTTTTAATTTACTATAAGTTAGTTTCACAGAATATCAATAATTATTTTATTTTTGTTACAGGAGAATGGGTGGTGGTTGCCATTCATTTGTTTCGACAATTTGGGTTTCTCCCAGAAAACATACCTTCTAACTCTTCCTTTACTTCTGAAGAATTTACATTTGAAAACATTTCTTTGGAATCTCTTCATCTGCATGGATTATTTACAATGTGGATAGTGTGTAATCTTATTGGATTTCTCGTATATTTCTCTATTGGTGGATTTCTCCATGTAAGTTTAGTTGTCATGTAAATATTTATCTGTAAGAGTTTTGACTTTATTGATGGAAGCGGTTCTAAATTTTAAATTATTGCATTTTACCTTGTACTAGATACATAATGAGAATATCCTAGTCAGTATTTAAAAGTTTTCAATTATTTTAAGTGCTTCAATTTAGAAACTGTGACTGAGTACGCTTATGTACGATACATAATATGCTTTCTTTTACACCGACTGTTTACTGTATGCCTGGTCTTAGTCAGAACAGAAACTAAAAGTATCAATAATTATTTTATCTTTGGCTAAGGATTTGAGAGAACAAGAAAATATATTCCTTTGACAAAGTTGTAGCCAGTTTTAAGTTAAAATTAAGGTAGATGAATTAAGAATACTGTCCAAACATCAAACCAAGTTAAACTGAACTTATTGTTAATTTAAGAACGTTAACCATATACGGTAGCGTCAAAAAATGACTGAAATAAATATAATTTTTACATTACCACAAATCTGTAAAAAAGGTTCATTCCACTATACAATTGAATCCAAACACTACATGGTTACAGTTGGTTTATAAAGGGATTTTTACTTCAGTATCAAAAATTCAATTATTTTACACTTTTTTTCTCTTTTTCAGGTTTGTGTCTTTTTGTCTCCCTGTAATGATAATGGCATTGTGTGTGTATTGGAGTATGCTGACTTATTATCCTTTTCATTGTTATTTTTTTTTCAGTGGCATTATTATTTGAAGCAAAAAGATAAACCAAACCTATGGAAGTGTCAGCCGACGAAATGGCTTTCCGCAGAGCTTGAGAGACATGAAATACTGTTTGGTAGTTTGAGCCTTCTCTGTGTTGACACAGTGACTTCTGTTTTTGCTACATACATCAAGAATGGAGGATGGTCTATGGTGTACTACCAGTTTGACGAGTACACCTGGATGTGGTACTTCCTTCAGTGGCCTGTCATATTTATCTACCAGGTGAGTGATAGAGTATTACACTACAAGGCTGAGAGGTAGGTATTTCCTGTGTGTGAGGCTTCCCGGGAACAGGATTTCATATGAGTGCTGTAAACACCTTCCCAGGTGGCACAAGACACTTCTGCCATTCTACCAGTGACAAGATTCTATTCTGATTTAGACATGGTAGACTAACACACCTTACTAATATTACTATCATTTTGCCACTCGTAAACATGGAATACTTTAACACAAACTTGTTTTTAGATAGATCAGACGGCAGATTAGAGTTTATTTATTTCAAAATAATTAATATTTAATGTAGAATGTCACAATATTCTCTATCACAATGCATCTTCTAATATTTGTTGATTATCAAATGATCACAGCATTCTACAAGATGGCACTAAGCAATCTGTGATTTACACTAATGCAAAATATTTGTATCGTTGCGGTGGACAAGTATATACACGCTGAGGATGGGGAGATAGCTTTGTGGGCATTGCAAAGCATTGTTGTAGTCTATTGAAAAACTAACCACGGTACTCCAGTTGACTTTGTACACTGATCTCTTTCTTAAAACAACGGATTTCTGGTCTAAAAAGAGTATAGTAAGAATCTACTTAAAGTGTATTGTGTCAAAAAAAAATATAAAATAGCTGGATATACATAAGAGGTAATCAGAAGTGATCAGTGGCCAGGTTTGAGGCAAATCGGTCGCTTTTTGATGGTTCAAAAGTTGACCCAGTTGTCTTTTATCATTGGGCTTTTAATCAATGATCCTGGGTTAAGAAACAACTTTTCTTAGTCATAAAGCTACTTCTTGCATCTCTTTTCATTCTCCTCTCATCCTTTTCTCATGTTTGCTTTAAGCTGCATTTACAACAAAACTGAGTTTTTATAACAAAATGTCTAACAAAACAGCTTTTGTCAACAAAAGTCTTGTTGAAACATTTTCACACTTCTCATTCCTATATAGACATGGTTTAAAAAAAATGCTACATATTTAATATGTTTACAACTTATTGCGGAAAACAACCTGTTGTGAACACTGAAAAGCTTTTGAAAACATGTTCACAAAGCTAGTGTTCTTTGGACTATAGTAATCTTTTATTTAAAACTCCGGTGTAAACACCACTTTGAAATCAAAGTAGCGACCCAATCTTAATTGGAAATAGACATAATAACTAACTATAATGATATTTTTGTAAATGGCTTACATCCTCCATTCAATTAGTATTGGGACTGGTTCACTGTAGCCTCAAAAGAGCAGTGGAGAGGGGTCTGAACGGTTGGGCTGGATGAGGGGTCCTACACCATTCAGGAGCACTTTTAGTGTAGTCGCCTACGAGCATTTGTTGAGAAAGGAGGTCGATATTTGCGCTGAGTGTTTTATCATTGTGTCGTCACGCCAACATTGAGTGTACAGTCAAGCAACTCTGTGAAGTTTTACATTAAATTAGGAAAATCCGCTTTGGAGACCCTTACCCTCATTAAACAGGCTTATGGGGATGATGCTTTAAGCCACACAATAGTTTTTGTGGTGCACCAAATGTTTAAGGAAGGTCGGGAACACGTGGAAGACGAGCACCACGTCGGACGCCCGACAACCGTTTGAACCGAGAAGCTCACGTGGTCAAAGTGGAAGAAGTTTTGGAATCTGACAGGCGTCTAACCATCCCTCTTCAGTGGGAACCGACGACCGTCCACACTATCGTAACGGAGAATTCGGCAATGAGAAGAGTCCGTGTGAAGTTGGTGCCGAAAGTCCAGAGCGAGGAATAAAAACTGTCAAGGACTGCGTCCAGGAAGATCCAAATTTTCAGTGGCGGTTATTACCTGGGTGTTCCAAGTTCCAATGACCCAAAAACAAAAGGGCAAGGGTCTCCGATGCTGATTTTGCTATGCTGAGTGCATTGCAACGCTGGTGGCACTGCCTACGAACTGATAGGCAAAGCTCTCTCAAAGTACTTAACGCTTTTTACCATGCGATTGGCATTCTGGGTTATAGTAGTATGTTTTCTGTGACTGAACTGAACAATGAAAAAACACTGTGTGCAAATATCGACCTCCTGTCTCAACGAATGCCCATAGGCGACTAAACTAAAGTGCTTCTGAATGTTGAAGGGCCTCAAATTTTAGCATATCTTTGCACTTAAAACTCAACGAGGAAAAATTATTTAGTGTTCCTACAGATTTGCCATTGTTATTACAAAATTATCTTGGAATTGTGAGTTTTGTAAGTCAACCTAAAGAATACAAAAAGATTTAATTTTTTATTTGGAAGTGAAAAGTACTCCTCAAAACTAAAACTATAACCTAATGATTTTTAATGTGATAGCTGGGAGCATACCAAAATGCAATGGGATGAGTAAGTAAAATGCAAAGGTCTACTTTTAAATCTTTTTCGCCGCACCCAGGCATCAACCCATGATCATATTAAAACACCTGTTCAAAGTGATTACATTTAAGTGAGAACTATGTCCCATGTCACAGAGAATAGAATTCAATATCATTTCAGATTACCAGTATCTATTTCAAAGATAATCACAGTAATTAACTATAGTAAGATAGATGATTGTTGTAGTCTGGGATTAATTGTTTGATAGATAAGGTTTATTTACTCTAGTTGAGAATTTGATGAGTGTAATTATGGTTGAAAAGGATCTTACAGTGTTCTTTGAGGAATTGGGCAAGAGAAATCAATTTGATCCCTTAACTGTGGTATATACCATTCTGTTAATTTGGTGTTTTGATCATATTTGCTTTTAAAACTCATCGCATACCTCAATGGGTTATGTAACTACTTAAATATGATTTTGCAAGGTATATTTATACTTCAACATGAATTGAAGATATTTTTAGGATCAGTATGATGATTCTGAGAAAAGTATGTAGGTTTTCGGTGGTTCGAAACTCAATCCAGCTGTCCTTGATAAGGCTTTTAAATGGACCTGGCTAATTAGTACAGGGCAAATAATACAAAAACACCTCATATAAACAATAACATTTGTAACATGAAATTTCTTCTGTGAGTTATTAATAATATAAGAAATGATGATCCGATGAATCCCCAAAATTTTGGGCATCCTAAGCCCCTTTCTGGGACCTTTTTTGTTCAGATGGAGGTTATTCCTTAATTATTTTGTTTTTACGTGTAAGGTTGAGTGAGGTGTGGTTTTCGGTGGTTTTAGTTATTTCAAAACTATTGGGACTAGTTTTAAATGTATTAAACCACAGGGTGTTCAACAAATATTATTAATTATTCAAGATCTTTAAACATTTATTCATAAAATAATAAAGTTAGGTATCTCAATGCTCTACATAAAAGAGGATTATTGAAAATAACTGTCAATTTTTCACTACAGTGAAAAGAAGGACTGCATGGAGTAAGAGAAAATCTTAAATAACCCCGCCGCAGCAAACCTGCATGACTAAGCAAATTTCCATTTGCCTAAATTTATTTTCAAATAAATCTATTTAAATAACATTACGTTTAAAAAGGACTTTTATTACAGAAATTGGTGAAAGGGGGCGTCTACACAAGAAATACTTAATTTTTACACATCGTTTGTAAAAATCCGTTCATTATTAACGGAGGAGTAGTGTTTCGTAGAAATCGCCTTCACGTATTATAATATAAGGATATTTGAACAAAAAAGCCATTTTTCTATAATTCCCATAGTATCTCTCTTTACAATTTCATCATCACAATAATTATTCTCAGGCGACTCATTAGCAATTTCATTAATCTCTTGAAAACTTATCCAACTTCACCGATTTTGTCCAAGTTGGCTGTGTTCAATCAGGATTCTCTCTCACAAACCTTGCAGATAGCAGAACAGGCAACACCAATCTTGAAGCAGGAACAATGTGATGTGGTGCAAAAACACCTTTCATACCTACTGACATTTGCAACTTGCATCGTCAAAGCCATTGTCAATCAACAAACACATCAAGTACGGTTGTTGATGGTTATGACGACCAGGACAGCACTAAGACATCTGAGCAGCATGGTGCAAACATTTTTGTCCTGAACCATGGGTACGGGGTTTTATGGGGTGAAAATTGGGTTTTCTAATTTTTTCCCCTTAAAACACAAAGTTTACATATTTCTATCTAGACCATTTTTAAGAGCTTAAAAAAATGATTTAGTATATTTAAGTGTTTTTGTAAGGTTAGGTTATGGATGAAATTTAAAATTCCCATGTTATTCTTACAGAGGGAGAATATTGTAAAATGATTTAGTTTTTCTTGTTTATGGATATATCCTAACAAAACTTGCCAAATTGATTTTTTTTATACTAGGCTATTAATATTTTACCAAAAACACGCTTTATTAGCCCCCTTGTAGCAACAAACCTAGGTAGTACTCGTTAAACGTAATGTTATTTAAATAGATTTAGTTAAAAATCAATTTATGCAAATGGAAATTCGCTTAGTCTGCAGGTTTGCTGTGGCTGGGGTATTTAAGATTTTCTCTTACTCCTTTCGGCCCTTTCCCTTTATGTAGGTAGTAAAGAATTTACAGTAATTTTCAATAATCCTCTTTTATGTAGAGCATTGAAGTAACATAATTCATAAGAAATTCATAAAAGATCATAAAAAAAGTAATAATATTCGTTGAACACCATACATAATATTCGTATGTAGTGGTTGAATACACTTAAAACTAGTCCCAATCTTTTTAAAATAATTAAAACCATCGAAAACCATGCCTCACTCGACCATAAAGGTAAAAACAAAATTATTTAGGAATTACCCCCCTCCGAACAAAAAGGGGCTTAGGACGCCCAAAGTTTTGGGGACTCATCGGATCTTCAAATCTCATATTACAGTATATCACAGGTGAAATTTTATGAATGTTTGTTTATAAAACCTTATTTTACCTGTACTAAATTAAACAGCTGGTCTTAGTCAGTAACAAAGCTACACAGATCATCTCACTCCACTCTACACTCATCCTTCACCCATATTTGGGTTAAAGTACACACCTAGGTGGCGTCCCATCTTGATTAATAATAATGCCTTGTATTTGGTTCATGACTATACAGTAGTTGGGTGGTGTCTAATGGTAACACTGCTCTCCTATAGTTGGGTGGTGTCTAATGGTAACACTGATCTCCTATAGTTGGGTGGTGTCTAATGGTAACACTGCTCTCCTATAGTTGGGTGGTGTCTAATGGTAACACTGCTCTCCTATAGTTGGGGGGTGTCTAATGGTAACACTGATCTCCTATAGTTGGGTGGTGTCTAATGGTAACACTGCTCTCCTATAGTTGGGTGGTGTCTAATGGTAACACTGCTCTCCTATAGTTGGGGGGTGTCTAATGGTAACACTGCTCTCCTATAGTTGGGTGGTGTCTAATGGTAACACTGCTCTCCTATAGTTGGGTGGTGTCTAATGGTAACACTGCTCTCCTATAGTTGGGTGGTGTCTAATGGTAACACTGCTCTCCTATAGTTGGGTGGTGTCTAATGGTAACACTGCTCTCCTATAGTTGGGTGGTGTCTAATGGTAACTCTGCTCTCCTATAGTTGGGTGGTGTCTAATGGTAACACTGATCTCCTATAGTTGGGTGGTGTCTAATGGTAACACTGCTCTCCTATAGTTGGGTGGTGTCTAATGGTAACACTGCTCTCCTATAGTTGGGTGGTGTCTAATGGTAACACTGCTCTCCTATAGTTGGGGGGTGTCTAATGGTAACACTGCTCTCCTATAGTTGGGTGGTGTCTAGTGGTAACTCTGCTCTCCTGTCAATCAGGGAGTGCCTGTTTGATTATATGGAAAGTCAGTAGTTGCTGTTTAATGTCTCAAAACTGGACCCAGTTGTCCTTAATCCTTGTGTATGAATCTAATAAATGGTCTAATATTATCTGGTTTAGAGAAACAATATATTTTCTCCAATAACATAGCTTACTTACCAGATCATGTATTCAACAATATCCCTCCACTCATCTTGTCCTACACCTTGGTTTGTCAGCGTTGTACAAATTAATCTAGTCATGACTGAATCCAGTTACTTTTTGAAACATTAGAATTAGGCCTATGTTTTTTGCTAATCTCTTAAAGTGCTATTTGTAGTTAGTTTTTACAGTAGTTTTTAAACTGGGTATCACTTTGCAGCGTATTTCAGGATTACGTGACGTACTGGCTGCATCGTATGTACCACACTCCGTGGTTGTACCGCAAGTTTCACAAGGCTCACCATCGCTATGTCCAGCCTACAGCGTTCTCTGTTACTGCCATCCACCCTGTAGAGATAGTTCACATACAGCTAACATTGGCTCTACCGTTGTTTACCATCCCTACACACTGGAGTGAGTTGAACTCCCAATGAAGAATGTAGACTTCCACAGTGATGATACTTGTTGTCTTCTGGATTGAACCGTTTAGTCAAGCTGTACTTAAATGTCAACGTTTTGGAGACGTGGCAGTTCTCTATCATCAGGGAATCAAGGAGTTAGGAATAGTTCCTTTTCTTACTACTGTAGTTCCTTCACTAATGGATTTGTGCCCTGATGGTGGTGGAGAACTGCATCGTCTACCAAGTATAGCGGCATTCAAATACAGCTCAATGCACGGCCCAACACAAAATACAAGTGTCTTTCTTGTGAAATTTCAATATTCATCGCTGTGTTGTTTTTATCAGATTAAAACATTGACACAATCACAGTTTTAGATAAGTTTTTAAACACCAAACAAGAATGAAAATAAATATATTTTTTTTATTTTGTGGTAAACTACACCCTAAATTTTAATGAGGTCGGAAAATGGAACTGAAAAGAATGTGTTGCTGGTTATGTCTTTATTTCCAAACTTATCCACTTTATAAAGTATTTATTTTATGATGTAATATGTGTGTTCTGTTTATAAATGTTTTTACTTCATACTGTTGATCTGACCTTAACTTAGTGACTAAGCATAGGTCAGTAATGATTTTATCACATAAACCAATCATGAAAAAGGTAGAAAAAGGATAGAATTCAAAATTCTGGTTAAAAGAGGCTACAATCTCAAAAGCAGAGAGGTTATTTAGAGCAAAACACAAAGAATATACCAAATAACTCAAGCCTGAATACAGGGGCTTACCCTTATTAAAAACTAAATTATCATCGGGAAGCAGTCAAAAACTTTACCAGCTAAAATAATCTAGATAAATCTTTTGTATCAATGTTACTCGTTCTAGTATTCGTAAGACATGTTTTTAATTTATATAGTACCTTTTGTAGAATAATATTCCAGTCTCTGATTTCAAACTGTTTGCAGCTTCATTCACCTGCATCGGATTCTATACCTATTACCACGGCATCATCGACCACTCAGGAATTGATTTTAAGGCTCCGTGGTGGCAACCCTGGAGGCCTGACACCATATTCCATGACAACCACCACCAATACTTCCACGTTAACTTTGGTTTCAACTGCTATTATTGGGATATTGTACGTAATTTGATTGCTTTTAAAATTAAAATAAAGTACACAACATTCTATAAACCACAATTAGCATACTTTCGCATCAGTTGAACTACTATTGGAATGTTGTAGGTATTTAATTTTTTGTTTCACAATTAACTATAATATTCCAAGACAACCACCATCAATATACTCTGTGTTCAACTGTTACTGTTAAGGATATTGTGCGTATTTAAATTTTGTATTGTAATCAATTGAATTTATACATTTCTCAGATCAAACAGAGTTTGTTTCTGAGAGAAGGAAATCAATGGATGAATTAAACTCTTTTCAAGCTCCTAAAGCTGAGGGGAATTCTGTAAAAAGTAATTGAAAGGTTTTTGAAGCATATTTGTTGTTGGTTGATCTTTTCTATTTCTTTTTTTAAGTTTTTGATCTTATCCATCAAAGAATATGATTTTATTCATAGAAAGATTAATTCAATATACTTTTTTAATTACTATATTCATCTATTTGGAAGTTAAGTGTTGTTTGGAAATAATTTTAGAAAAGCAATCTAAAGGATTAATTATAAGGTAAATCACATTTCGTTAAAGACTTAAAACAGTTTGTTAGAATCTTCTATTTTTTATAATTTATAAAATAATACCCCCGCCGCAGCAAACCTGCAGACTAAGCGAATTTCCATTTGACTGATTGGATTTACACCGAAATGTCTACTTAAAAATATAACATTTATTCTTGATTTAAATAGAATTAGTTTAACAAGTACTTAGGTTTGCTGCATCAGGGAGGGTAAAACTGTTTTTTTTGTAAAATGTGAATAGTTAGTAAAAAATAAAAACATTTTCCAAATTTGATCAAAATATGTTCACAAACAAGCAAACTACAACAGTTTACTTATTCTCCATAAGAATAACATGGGAATTTTAAATTTACAATTTTTTGGAATTTTCTCCGTAACCATTAGGCGCATAATAACGCTTCAAAATACTAAATTATTTGTTTTTTTAAGCTCTACAAAATGGTTTGGAAAGAAATTGCTAAATTTTATGTTTTTTGGGTCAAACATGGGAAAAACCTATTTTTACCCCATAAAACCCCCCGTAAACCCCCGTTCCCATGGTCCGATCATGCTGGATCGCGAACTCGTTCGAATAAACGTACGTTTACACGTTTTTACCAAATTTCATCAAAATCGGATCATTTTTGCTCGAGTTATCGTGCTGACGGACACATATATATATATATATATATATATATATATATATATATATGAATTTGAACGGATGGTGTTTTTGGCCTCTAGGGACCTCAAAACGAAAAAAAAAATCGGTCCCGCGTCCAGGTCTTACCATGAGTACTACGGTAATAGCTTATTCCCTATATGGGAAATTCGCTAAAAACATGATAAATCCAATTTAAATCAACCATATTCAATTTTAAATTGAATTTGTTGCTATTTCCAATACCATAATCTAACGTTTGAAATCTATTTGATTGATCTAAATCTAATTTTCTTTGTCAATAACAAAATGATCTTTAGTTTTACTACTATAAATAATCTATACATTCTAAAACAATTTGTTCAGCTACATGACACGTATCGCCGCAGAGACCGCATTTATAAAGAGGATATCTTCTATGGCAGAGGTAAGCCGATAGCTGAAGCTACTTCCAAGGAGATTGAAGAAGAGGTTAAATCCCGCGAGTCAGAAAACATTAATGCTCATAGATACATCAATCCTATTCTCAACACATCAGAATTAATAGAAGAGGATAAAAGAGGTGGAGGTAAGTTTACCGAGGCTGTCACATCATAAAGAGAGGAGAGGTATCGTTATATAATATTATCATTGCAATCATACTATGGAATCTACATTTCACGGATGTAATCATAAAAAGGGAACATTTTTCGAATTCAAATTGTCGTTCAGTAAATAATTGATTTTGAATATTGTAAGTTCATTTTTAATTCCATCGATAGAAATCTCTAAAGTCATTGACATTTGTTTCATGTTCGTTTATGTTTAGACGTGATAATGTCAACTATATTTTCCTCACTTATTCCAGGATACATTGAGTATTTTACTATTCTGTTGTACCTAATACTAGAAGACAAAGCAATAGCTTCACAGTTATCATGTTTCTTTAAAATACATTATTGTTTTACTCTATTTGGTCACAGAAAACATACTACTATAACCCAGAATGCCAACCGCATGGTAAAAAGCATTAAGTGTTTTGAGAGAGCTTTGCCTATCAATCGTAGGCAGCGCCACCAGCGTTGCCATGCACTCAGCAATTTATGTTTTCTGTGATTTGGTCAAAGTAATTTCAAAGTCAGTAAAACAACAGAGGATATAAATAAATTAAGTCAACTACGGCCGAACGCAAATAAATCTTCTAGGTGTCTCCAGCTTTCTATAGGTAAATAAATTTATTGTGGAGGGTATTTAATCCACGATGTAATCTAAATCAAGCAGAATGGATTTTAGAAATCATCAACATTCATCACTGGGCCCTTCTGGCTCAGGAAAGTACTGTCAACCATGGAGCTTTATTTGGGTGAATGTTTAAACTTTTATTCATGCACCACTAGAAGATTTTATTTCTGTCTAGACTCAATTGAAACATCAAACTTAAATTCAGTTGGAGACCATTAAGCTATTAGTTAAGAAAAAAAAATGTTCTGTACAGTGCAGACATTAATAACACTAGTGTAGATTTGGCACACTAATAACAAATTATTATATTACAACAATGTTATTATACTAATGGTTTTTTAATACTTTCTTTTTTATTAGCCTTTACCCTAATCTTTAACAGTTTGTTTTAATAATTTATATACTGTATGTTTAAATATATTTTAACTTTTCCAGATTCTTAGCGGAAGTGTGTAAGCCACAATGGATTTAAAAAAAAAATTATTATTTTAAAACCATAAATATTTTATTTTGAATTTGTAAGTTTCAAGGAACTTTTTAAGGTGAAACCCCATTTATCCCAGAATGATATTTAAAAGTTTTTAAGTACCGTATTGTAGTTAATGTTGTGAACATGCAATCATGGTTTTGACCTTTCCTAATAGTTGAATTTTAATAATGCAGATTTGTCTACAGATTTAGAATTGTTTTGTTTATTATGTACTTAGTTACCTTATGAAATGTTCAATTAATGTTTGAGGTTTGTTTGCCAACACAAAATAACTGTATACAGTCTATTACTCTGTTTAGAATTAAAAAGTTAGTAATTTCAAATCATGGGTTGTTTTGCTTTATTACCACCCAAAACATTTCAAAACATTTATGTCCATTTTGGCAAATAAGGCAAGGCGCACACAGGCGATTTTGAGTCGCGCAACAGTTGCCCGACTAATCGGGAGACTGTTGCGCAACCCACTCAGAGACTCTGAAGTCTAGCGACAGTTGAGCCGGAGTGCGCACACATAGGCAACTTTTTAGTCGTGAATCTAGTCTTCAGACGTATTGGACATACATTCGTTACAGCGTTCCGAATAGATTTCAATGATTCAGCCGTAGTATGTGCTTTGTTGCTGAAGTTTCACGTGCGAAAGAAAAAGATAGATACTGGGTTCATCCCATATAATCCCATATAAAGGCGGCCTCTTCTCAACTTCATCAATTAATTGTTCGACATCCTCATCAAGCACACTCATACTTGTAATTTTCTAAAAACTTCACACAACAAGAGAGCAAATACTAGTGACAGTTCTGGCCACGAGTAGTTGAACTCCTGGGGTGAGACTGAGCGACACAGCGACAATTTAGTTGCATGTGTGCGCATCTACACTTGTTTCAATGGATACCAACCCTGGAGCGACAGTCCCGCAACAATTCAGTCGAAGAGCAGTCGCTGGCAAATTGGGTCCGGGAACATCGGTTGCAACAGTTGCGCGACTGTCCCTAGACTGTTTCCTTGGTGTGCGCACTCCAATTTAAAACCATGTTGAACATTTAAGTCGGGCAACTGTTGCGCGACTCAAAATCGCCTGTGTGCGCCTGGCCTAAAGTATGAGAATGGATGTCATATTATGGTGATGTAATAGTTTCTTCAACCATAATATTATGTTTATGAAAATGCATTGCAGGAAAGTGATAAAGATATTATTTTTTTAAACATTGATGAATCACCATAAAGTGGCTTATTTAGTTCCTCGTTAATCCACATGGTCTTTTTTACTGGTAATGGCAAATGGCTAAGATACAGGATTGCTAGTTTACAAATTCTAAATGTAAAAGATAGCTTAGTTGCTGACTTTTTTACATACCAGCATAAAGAAATGCTTCAGCCTGAGATGGCATTAACTATAAACTATTAAATATTTTCAAACACTAAAAGTACGGTAATTATAATTTAATTAGAAATTGTCTTTATAGTTTTGGATTGTTTTCCAAGGCAGTCCATGGAAGCCATCTTGGAATTGCCCCCCATAAGAGCAATGTGAATTTCAAATAGCCGCTGAAGAGTTATTTACCATGTCAAATTATTATTTCAAATACCAAAGTGATTGTAATTTAAATATCTAGTATACTGAGGGATTAGAAATTTTCATTGTAGTTTTTAATTGTTTTATGAGTTAAAATGTCTATGCCCCAAGGACTCTTAGACTTACCTAAAAACTAACAGAAATGTTGTTTTGTATAGTGTTTGAAAGACTAATTATTTATATAGTTTGTAGTAACTGTAGGAAAAATATAATACGTAATGAGTCCAAAGTGCCTTTCCTGCACTCGAGAGACTTCTAGTTACACAAGTAACTATTTTCCCAAGACTCATTTTGCAAACAGATACCTCGGATTCTTAAGAGGAAGACATAAATACAAGAACTGTAGATTCTACAATTATGTCATAACATTATTTTTTTGTGGGGATTAGTCACCCACTTAATGGACTGTATAAACCTTTTCCAAAGGTTGTAAGAATAAGTACCTTCGATAACCACATTTAAATAAGAGTCAAAAAAGAATATGTTGATGGAGGTGAAGAAAAATCAAAATAAGAGTGAATAAAATTACCATGCTAAAACCACTTTAGAACTTTGTAAATAAACATTTTAAACAAAACACACAAATCTTAAAAATTAAATTTTTTAAAGGGAAAACTAATAATTTATTCTGGAAAAAATATTTGATACCGTACCAGGTATTACTTGGTATTATTATTACCAAGTATTAAATTTGAGATGAGATAATTCATAGCAGAATTATCATTGAGATATTTCATGGTAAAATTCGGCAAAGTTTCACAATAATTCTATAAATCAAATACAAACAACTCAGTGATAACATTAAAGCTTTCATTTCTAATCAAGAACAGTCAACTTTTGCTAGACCATTGAAAAATGAACTTGCTCTAAAACACTTGTACTGCCGTAATTGTTCAGAACTCGATTAGAGAGTGTGATGCAATCTACATTCAGTTTTGTTTTTGCAAGGTGAGTTTAAAATGTACAGTAAAAGTCATAGTAATATGAAATGATGAGGTTATGTTTGGAATGGTATTACAACTTTCTTGAGAAGCACTGGAAAAAACTACCTTCTTCTGTCAAGCCATGCATAGTGTCTTTAGCTGTTTTCCTTCTTGGAATTACCATAAAAGGTAAAAACTTGTATGCTTATTATTTATGTGAAGTCTTCTTACTGAGACAACAAGATTAATATGCTAACACTTGGTTTTAGCTATGTATTTTGTGTACTATTTTGTGTTGTATTTTATTAGGTAGGTATACACCTTGTTAGCTAGCCCCACAATAATAGCACTGTCCATTCAACTTGTCATAAAAATGTTCCTAATAATACTTGAGTAAATATGAGTCCTTTTCATTTAAGCAGGAAACAACTTAAGTGATGTTACTAGATGAGGAATTGTAGATAAAAGATGGCATTGAATTTATTGTGCTTGATAAACTGTTTAATTTGAAGATTCCTGCAGACTACTGCCCTTAAGTAATGTCCTAAACCCCTCTTATACTCTGTCATTGTACTTCATCTCGTAGTTACACTGAGCACATCATGGAACATTATAGGAAAACAGCACATTAACATTGCATTCTGTCATTGACTTATGGATAGGTACTGAAGTAGACAAGTAGATATCCCATCTATATCCTACCAGATGTAGTCTATTTTTTATTGAAAAACGCCATAGTTGAATGAACTACTAGGATGTGCTACTGTCTCAAATTCTATCTTCTCCCTGAGTGTTTGGTTATTGAGTCAGTTAAGGCCCACCGCACACGAGAGACTTTTTGTCGGCCGGCTATTTAGTCGTAGTCGGGAGTAAAAGTCGGCCCCATAGTGATAAATCTAAACGCGCACACGGGCCGACCCCAGCAAGACAGTCGGCAGACTGTCCGCAGACAGTCGGGGCATTTTGGTGCTGACCGATTTTCCTGCCGACTGCTCCCCGACTCAACTGTCGTTTCGTATTCACAAAGGCATGGAGATAAGTATGAACGCGCACACTGACGACTAAAATGTCTCTCTGTCTGACAGTTGAGTGCGTTGTTATCATGTGTATTATTATTGTTATTATGATTTGTATTATTATTTGTGTGTTATTGTTATTATTATGGCTTCGACAACCACCCGTGCTAGTGTTTTGAGGGACAAGAAAGTCGATAAACTTATCGATGAAGTGAAGGCACAGTCTCCTCTTTATAAAAAGTCTTTGAAGGAGTATTTGGACATAATAAAAGAAATTCCCTCGCTGCAGCAAACCTGTAGACTAAATGAATTCCCATTTGCCTGATTTAATTTTTTTTCTATTTCAATAACATTAGGATTAACGAGTACCTAGGTTTGCTGCTACAAGGAGGGTATTCAGGGTGTGTTTTAGTAACATATTAATAGCTGAGTATAAAATAAATAGATTTGCCAAGTTTTATCAAAATACATCCATAAACAAGCAAACTACAGCAGTTTACTTGTTCTACATAAAAATAACATGGAAATTTTAACTTTAAATATTTTGGAATTTCCCTGTGATAACAATAAGCATGCTAAATTATATGTTTTTTAAGCTCTGCAAAATAAAGTGGTTTAGGTTACCTTTTGCGTCAAACGATCCTTGATGTATAAACCATTTTATATTGCAATTTTCGATCCAGAGGCTAACCCATCATGACTCTGCAAAATGTTTTCTAAAGAAATTGCGGAATATTTTGTTTTTATCGTAAACAAATGGGAAAACCCCATTTTTACCCGATAAAACCCCTATAAACCCCCATTCTCATAGTCCGATCATGCTGGTTCGCGAACTTGATCGAATAAAATTCATGTAGGTTTACACGTTTGTACCAAACTTCATAAATCGGAAGCCGGGGTATTAACAATTGGTCAAAACTATCAACACTCATTCATGAGTACATGAAAAATTTGTCCGGATAATTCCTCAAATCCGAGTATAGAGGTAAATCTGGCCTTTCATGGTACTCGGACTATAAATTGGATGCACCCAGTATTTTCTCTTACGTTTTCTTGAACGAAATCTTATCAGTAACGCACATATGACAGCGGTTTCTGTCATATACATCCTTTTGACACTCGAAAGACGACTAAACAGTCGTGGCGTGTGCACACCCATAGTCAACGACCAAACAGTCTTGACGACTTTTCGATTGTCCACCCGACTCCAGCCAGACAGATGGCCAACAGTCGGCCGACAAAAAGTCTCTCGTGGCCTAATGTGACAAAAAATATGCTATAGCTTACAATAAGTCATCCAATTGGTTGGCTTATCCATCAGAAATGAGTAATTTACATCATCCAACTATGTCTGTGGCTCAATTTAATTATACAATTTGTGTTCTAAAACTGGCAACAGCTTTAACATGGGGATGGAATGTATTGTTCTTGTTCAACTTTAAAGCTACAAAAACTCTACTACTGTAATAAATAAATACTTTTCTCGCCTTGAGTAAAAGATTATAAAGAGTTGAGTAGCAGTTTTTTTTTTTTTTTTTTTTTTTCAAAGAAGTAGCCTGAGTAGTTGTTATGGGATAAAATGTGAATTTATGCATCAACTGAGAAATTAAGTTACAAATTAGAAATAATTCAAGCAAAACTTAATCAAATCCTCTGTAAAATAAGCTTTTGAGAAAAAAAAAATTTTTGTAGGAAACCTGTTTGAACTTTGAAAATAAAATTGGTTTTCCCCTTAAAATTATTGAAAATACTTTTTCCTTCGATCTAAATATATCTTACAAACATTTTATTATGTTAATCGACTGCTCTATCAGAAACACATTTCAGGAGAATGGATCCTCCTATTTGTTCATCTGCTAAAGCAATATGGCTATCAAGCCCCAGCACTAGCTAAAGACAAGAGTGAACTACCTTGGGAAGGTTGGACACTAGAATACTTTCGGCTTCAAGGACTCCCCTTGGCTTGGGTCACGAGTAATCTTGCTGGCTTCGCCATTTGGTTCAGCGTAGGGGGTTTCCTTCAGGTTCGTACAACTGAAATGGTTGTCTCATTTTCTCTAATATTATATCTGGCCTTTACTTCTAAAGGTTTTTATTTTCTTTCAATAGGTTGGCAACATCTTTAAATCTTGCATTTGATTGTTCGCATAACCTTGGGCCTGTTTATGAAACCATTGACTTTTATACTGAAATAGTCACCCCAAAGTAGATGGACCCAAATACGGACCCATTTATATTTGTTCTTCAAAAAGATAATGAGCCATTCACAGAGTGGGCTACAGTCTAAAATGCAATTTTCTCCCTTAGTTTTTGTTACTGTACTATATGGTATTTGATGTGACATATGTTATAACTTACACTAAGTCAATCACTTGTTTAAAAAAATCAGGTATTCAACATAAATCAGAAATTTACATCAGAGAACTCTGTTGGGGTCTTAATTCAACTATGTCCATATTGATTGTAAAACTGGTACCATAATAATTTAACTAGGGATGTAATGTATTGTGTAATAATAGTCACAGATGAAAAGTTTCCGGTAAAGCAAGGGGTGAGTCAGTGCAGTACAAGAGAACTGCACTGACAACATTTAGTGGCATTCATCAAGATGCGAACCCACGACATTGCAGCCATAGTTTTGTAGTGTGACTGAGCTTCCACGTTACAGTGGTACTACTACAGAACACAACACGATCAGCCAGAGCAGTGGAAGTGTCAGCCAGATAGATGGCTGTCCCAGGAGCAGGAGAGGGAAGAGTTCCTGTGGGGTTGTGCAGGATTGTTAACCACAAGTACCGGATCAGCTGTTATTGCTACCCTTATCCGCAATGGAAGTTACTCTACTATCTACTACCGCTTGGATACTTATCCTCTCATTTGGTACTTCCTGCAGTGGCCAGTCTGTTTTGTATTGCAGGTATCAAAATTGGCATTTCTTTTAGCAAAAATAACATTTAAGTGTTTCTCATCAAAGAATAAGACTAATATCTTGTGTCATTTTAAAATAGAGGAGGGTTTTAGTTACTTTCTGAAATATTTTTCAGCATTGTCATAGAAGTTGTCATTATTTTTATAGAGGACCAATGTAACCATAATCCTCTGCACTAGAAACAGAGATTTTCACACAAAGTTGCTCTCGTCCAGCGATCTGGCATATTTTAAGTAAAATTTTCAATTTAACGTAAATGCCAGACAAACGAGATGAATTATGTACCTTTGTGAATAACCCATTATAGCTTGTTCTTAAATTAAATATCTTAATAATCAATTCAAATAATATATTTGATAAAGAACTGTAATATGACAATATGTCTGAAAGATGAAAGCCAACTGTGTTTTCACTTTTCCTTCGCACATTAAGGTATGTTAGGTACTGTCCAAACAAATCATACACCTTGTTGAAATTTGAAATGGGTTAATCTAGCTCAGGACTTTAGCTAGACCCGTTAGACTGTTGCTTTTAAAACAAAACTCAATAAACCGATCCAGATTATACCAACTATGATCAAGTCAAGTCACCCTGAAGATGGCGCTTTATATGAAAGGCTGAAGCAATGGTCAATAGTAGTTTTTCATCATTTTGGTTAAAAATGAGGCGACAGGTTCTCGCCTGAAGACAAAAAATCTATAGTAATTGGCCGTAGAAGCCTATCAATGAAGATTTCCTTAATTAAGGAATTACTTATTGAAATGGTAATATTCCTTGTTGTAGGTACAGAATAAAAACAAGTTGGATATTAGAACCGGCTTTTAACAAGATAAATTAATAAATCAATGTTTTCTTAAAATGATATCAGTCCAAATATTTGTCTGCAGGATTATTTCACCTACTGGGCCCACCGCATCTACCACACTCCGTTCTTATACAAGAGATTTCACAAGATCCACCACAGATACAAGGCCCCAACATGTTGGTCTGTGACGGCATTTCATCCATTTGAGATCTTCACTATGCAGATGGTGCTGGCATCACCACTGTACTTTCTACCTGTCCACTGGAGTATGTTAGCCTGTACAAGTGTAGGGGAGAGTGGGGATCCTTGAGACAAGCTTTTTATATAATTTTTTTTTTTCCAATATGACTTGAAGGACTAGATTATGTATTATTATTAAGCTTAAGTATATACCTTTCTCTTCCATTGAATTTCAAAGATCTATACTAAGTCATAACAAACAAAAATAATAATTTGTAATTTTTTTAAATGTCTCAATGTGCCCCACCTATGTATGGGGTACGTTGAGACAGGTGGTGGGGATGGTTGGTTTGGGTTTTCCTTTGTCATTTGAAGGAGACGGCAAGATCATAACTATATCTTTGATTGCTACACTGCCAATGTCGTCAACATTTGGGAAAAAGAATGAGTTTTTCATTTTAGAAGATTTTCTAAAAAATTTTACAACGAAGTCTCCATTTTCAGTTTTTGTAAGAAAACATCTTTTCTGTCCAGAACTTAACAAGCACAAAATCTTCTAGGTCAACCTGCTCTACATCGAAGTTTGTTTGTCTCAACCTTCCCCGCCTAATTTTGTCTCAACCTTCCCCACTCTGCATTTGTAAACAAAGCCGTCATTACTACTAAAACAAATAGAAATTGGCGAATAAAAACACAGCCACACTGTTACATGGCCTGTTCAACAATACAAATCTTAACAAATTTGAACTATAAGTAAACTAACAGTATTAACTTACCCAACGACTCAAGTATTTACTTTTGATGTTCACAAATACTTTTAACTCACTAACTCAGACACAACCATTCAGAGAGATACAATATGCAGACTGGGGTTATAGGAGAAAGAAAACAACAGTTTAAGCTCAGTGTTTCCAACCGGCAACATTAAATTACCCTAAATTTATCTTTGTCTCAACGTGCCCCTTGTCTCAAGGATCCCCACTCTCCCCTACGATTTTGAAAATTGGCTATTTATCAATGACTTAGAACTGCGAATAAGATGTATATTAAATATATGTACTGAGAACGATATGAGGATGGGACATGTACTGTATACCCTCAACATTTTTGATATCCTAATTTTCTTAATACAGTAGACTCCGCTCTTTTTCAGATCCAGACACCTATTAACCGGACATTGGTTTAACCGGACTACACTCGGAAGAAGCGACATCTCTTTAACCAGAAAACTTTTATCAGCACATCAGTTTAACTAAACTACATCACCAGGAATTGGGCGGTACTTCTTAAACGACTTTTCTTGTGGGAAAGATTTTAAACCAGTGATCACATGTATAAATAAATACATGTACTATGCTCTCCCAAATTAAAAATATATATATATTTATGCTACTGTTTGTGATACTTTGTACTTTCAGGGAACATCAGTTTCACAGGAAAACCCGCTATCCAGACTGGCCTCGGTCCCGAGGAGTCCAGATAAGAGGGAGTCTACTGTACTAACTTTGTTTCATATACCGTACCTAGATATTTTCTTTTACCTTCTAAATTATCTTCTTATTGCCTCCCTAGTGAGTAAAGACTATTGATTGATATTGCTGCAATTTTAATATTAAATGCGGATCAGAATGTTATTTTTTATTAAAAAAATGAATAAGTCCTAGGCAATAATGTCCAAACATAGAGGAAAAAATACTAAACAAGGCTTAACTTTATTAAATCTTACAAGTAGAATCAAAGCAGACTAAATTTGCAGGAGAATCCAGCCCTTGATAAGAGTTTAATGAATGGTTCTGACTAAAGAATGAGTTGATCTAAGTCAGTAATGAGGTTTTATCATTATTAATTCAACACCCTTCCTTCTGATGTAAAGATGAGTGAATTACACACTATGGCATGTCTGGATCCTATACATTTATAACCTACATTAACAAAAAACCAATTGACTTGTGTTGTCTAAGATATGCATCCCATTGAATGTATCCTAACTATAATATGAAACTATTTTACAGCATCATTTACTGCTGTTGGTATCTACACCTACTACAATGCCATTCTGGATCACTCTGGTGTTGATATTAAAGCACCCAAGTGGCAATTCTGGAAACCGGATTCCATATTTCATGACAACCACCACCAATACACTCATGTCAACTATGGCTTCAACTGCTATTACTGGGATCTGGTAAGATTATATCAAATCAAATCAATCTTTTTTTTTACATTTATTGCTATATGCATTTACTAGTCCCCATACATATTTACTAACCTATGAATGATTAAAAGCATTTTTAACCTTTATACTACTTGTTATTTTGTATCAATTGATTTGATATGTGAGTCATTGGCTCAGCTTGAATTTGATTGTTTAACACTATTTTTAATTGACGATAAAATTAAAAAATCTAATTTGTTTAATACAGGGCACAGCCAAGGCCACACCAAAAAAACAGGTCGTAATGCTCGTCAAGCAGAACATCAGGATAGAAGACGGCAATGACGTAATGTTTGCCGTTTGTGATCAACTAGGCCTACTTGTTTTAATCTTTCCTTGGAAAATAAATAAATAAATACCTACGTCATTGTCGTCTTCTATCGTGACATCATGCTTGACGAGCATTACAGCCTGTTTTTTTTTAGTGTGGCCTTGGCACAGCAAAACGGCTTTAAAAGAAGGAAGGCAGACATTTTTTGTCTTTTTATCATCAGCCACTCATACCGTTTCAGTTACCATCAATAATGTTTGGACAACATTGAGGTTATGCAAAGTATGTGTATTTAAAAAACAACAAGTCAGGGACTGTGACGCAAAGAACTCTTCGTTGGGAGATTTTTACTCCACACAACCACAGTTTCCTAGTTAGTTATTGTTGTTTAAAACGATATAAAAAGTGTTATCACACGGACGCAGGTTAGTGAAAACACTGGGAAATGTTTTATTTTCACTAGGAACCACAACGTTGTTGTGCAGAGTAGAAGACTGTCGATTAATAGCTTTTTTTGCAGCTCGACAAATTTACTCATCAAATAAAGGATTTGATTGACATTCTAAAGTAAAAATAAATCTTTTCTCACTGTTTTACGATGATTTAAATAGCATTTGAAAGAAACCACAAGAATGTTAATTATATCAATCAAAGGGTGGACCCCAAACCACCTATTTATTCTTCTCTTTCGCCGTCTCCATAGTAGATACATTGCCAGCACCTTCTTCTTCCACAAGGTTATCCTTTCAACAGCTGAGCCTCTACTGTGGCAGCGTTGCTCGATACGCGCTGGACGAGAGCAACTTTGTGTGAAAGGTTCTCGCTTGTCAGGCGCGAGTTTCCCGAAAGATGCCATGCCGTGTGAAAGAGACCTTCATGACTTCTCCACAGCCAGACTAAGCTAGTGCAACTGCTCAGTGCATTCTACCGCATCCTATATTTAGTAGTCATTTTTATATACTAGAACTAAAATTATTTTAATTACCGGTCATCATAGCAAACACTTTTGATACCTAGTAATACATGGGAGTGTTCGTAATTCGCATGATAGTATCAATAGTTTCAGGAAACGCAAGAATTGATTATACTTTATAGTAGTCGGATCATTAACTTTGGATAATGAAGTTGACAAAAATAAAGTATGTAAGACAGTGTTTTTGGCTGAAAGAGGACCAGAGTTGAATGAATCTTTTATATATTTGTTACTATTGAAGTTAGTTATATTTCCTTTTTTTTGTTTTACGCTATTACAGTTGATGGGACATAAAAGATGTCACAGTTTGAGTTTACAAGTTCTCTTTTCGTAAAAGGTAAAAAATTGTGTTTTATAGCAGCACAGTCTGGTGATGTCTAAAATCAACTACTTTCTTATTTATTCTAAAATTAGTTAGTAGTGTGCTACCTAATAGAATAGGATTGAATTTTTTACTTCCTCAAGGCACATTTAACCTTTCATTGGTGACACCACTGAGTTTTACTCATAGGGTGCATTTGTTTTTATAGAAAAATATATGTTATTGCTTGCCGGAAGTTTTAGGAGTGACAGTACCTTACGTGCATCTTTATTATTTTGCTCTCACACCTCCCCCGCAAAACCCCTATTGATCAGATGAAGCCGGAAGAGTCGAGTAGCAGCTCCGTAAGTCACCTATCGGACAGTGGATTTTAGTGTGTCAATGATAGTGTAGCTGTTTATGTTTGCTACATATTTTTATAAATATGTAAAGCAAAGTTTTTAATGATTTCATGAAACATTTTATTGATTATACATGATTTAAATGCATTTTTGTTGTATAAAAAACATTGTTTGTCTATGTTTCAACACCCAGAAAAAACTCTGTGTGTCACCGATCGTGTTTTAAAGTCAAAGAGATCCATGAAGGGTTAATTCCATTTCAGAAAGAAGGATTAGGACTTTTTTCTTCATTGTATGATTCTTTACAGATACATGGAACATATCGCAAGACTGATCGTATATACAATGAAAATATATTCTATGGTTACGGAAAATCACTGTCAGATGCAACAAAAGATGAACTTGAAACAGAAGCTAATGAAAGATTAGCGGAAAATATTAAGGCTCATCGAAGATTAACTAATGTTTTATTAAAGGAATAAATGCAAGAGACAATGAATCAAGCTTTTATGAAAATGATTCAAACATATTTTTTTTCAAATGGTCCCAATTAACAGCATAGTTTAAACATCATACTTTTCTTTTCATTTTACCCGTGTTTTCTATTTTTCTACTTTTCAAAGAAGAGAAAAACATAATATATTGTAATAAAGTACAGTATCCTAATCATCCTTAAATACACAAGGTAAGTGCATTTAAGTCAGATAATTTATAATATTCAGTTGAGGTATGTGGTTAACTACAAAGGTCAAGAAGTTAGAATTTAAATTTTACACTGACACTTTATTCAAATCTCAAATATTTCACAGGGTAAGACACGAGTTTTAAATTATTACTCTAACCACAGATAATTTTAAAAAACACTATTCTATTCCTAAATGTTATACAGACACATTATTAAAACAGTATTTAGATTATCAAAGGGAGGCGAATTAACATGAATAATGAAATAACTTTGCAAGTGAAAAAAACTGCTAATATTAAAAAGCATAAATTGATCTATAATAAACTACCTAACAGTACAACAAAGCTTACTTCTTAAACTAACATTATACAAAATAAATAAGTAATACATCTTTAAGTTGATAAATAATATAAGGAATAAATAACTTTCGTGAAAGACTTTCTCTACACCTATCGGAATAAAACCATTTCAACAATCATTAACTTGTTAATAAATAATTCAAATAAAATTACTCTATATTTATCATTTCTATAAAAATACAAATCATCACACATGGAAAGCTCAAATCAACTAAGTTACATTTATCAGTCTAAAATATCACAATAATGAAACCATCTTTTTGGTTTCAAAAATATGAATTACAAATGTGCAAATGTATGGGAGAAAAAAACATTTTTTTAGATGACAAAATATACACGTTGTGGAAATAATAGTACTTTTTATCACTAGGAGCGAAAGTTGTTTTTTCGTAGGCAATGGCATTTTAATTAATACGATTACGTACCAAAAAGACAATTTTGTTCCGTGTGATGAACACCTATTTTCATCATACTGTGGAAATAGCCTTCTAATCGTTACAAAATTAGACCACACAATTTGAGGTTATGCAAAGTCGTCATCAATGTTTACATTTTTGTTATTTACAAACATAACTCTAATATCGTATGATTAGTAGCGTTTTTATAATGCACTTATACAAAATTTGAGGTTAGCGAACCGAAAGATTTACCATGTGTTTTTTCGGTTCCCTATTTGAAGTTAACCGATAACGATGATTTTTCTGGCGATTTAAAGAACTAATGATGGCTACTTTCCGGACAGAATGATGAAAATAAAATTAATCAACCTGTAAAACCTTCTATTTGGAGAAGATTTTTTATTCGATCTTCAACCAAATGTAAATTTAATTAAAATTGTTCCATGTTATTTTAAACTACAATATTTTACTGATCTCAAATAATTATAAGACTATTTCTAAACTTAAAACTAAGTAACTATCAGACTTTACTCTCAGGGAACACTGACTATGGTACTGATGTAGACATCCTATCTGTTTGGACTACCTGCGGCTAGTTAACTAATTGAAAAACTATAGCTGAAGTGGATGAGACTATTACAGAATGAGCTGTAGTCAAATCGCTGTTTTCCGTCTTGGTGGCACAACAAATATTTTAGTTATCCTTTCAATTGGGTTTGAGTAAAAGATGGAAGGTTAGAAAAACTTATCTGACAACAGCATTGTTGGAGGTTGAATTCCATCATGTTTTCTTTTGCTTTAAAACTGGTTATAGCTTGAAAATGCCTTTGGGATGTCTACTTTGATGTATCAATAGTCAAATCTGACATGATTACTCACTGGGTGTTAGAGAGGGACCGGTAGAGCCTTGTCTTGTGTAGGAGGAAGTTGTTGCTGATGACCAGAGTGCGACCCTTGGTCAAAGTCTTCAGCAGCTGAGAAAGTCGCCACTTGTGTGTTGTGTCTTGCCTCAGCGTTAGACTCAGCAGGAAGGTGGAGCTCATCTGAGGGTCCCACTTGATGCTGCTGATCTTCACCTGACTGCCTTCCTCAGTCTCTAGCTGGATGTCCAGGGTGCAGCCCCTGTAAACAAGGAAAATTTTAAGTAAAAAAAGGAGTTTTAAAATAACTAATTACTGTAAGAATTTGATGGTCCTTTACAATGTGAGTTGCCAGAAAACAAATCAGTAACTGTTATGGTTATTTTTTCGTGGTTAAATTATGTATTTGAAATGTTATGAGCTATTTGGAATGTTTTAATGGAAGAAATTGTACAGGGATTGGGACAATCACATTCATAGCCTCTCATAAAAGACTGTAAATGCATATTATTAATCAATATTTTTACTGATTAGAAAGGTTGTTCATATTTTACGAAGGAAATATTCAAACAAACAACATGATAGAATTGAGCAATCAAATTTGTGAGTTTCAAAACGTTTTTGGAGGTCTCCCTCTTTTCCCACCCTGCTCTCTCACAGGAGTCGCTATGTGCTCAGTGGTGCCTTGGAAAGGGTGCAGCCCCTGTAACCAAGGGAAATGGTAAGAAAATCTATATGGATTGACTTCATCAGAGATAAATGTTAGGAGAACTACATGTTGAAAATAATTGTCAGCTACTCGTCCAATTGTTCCTTTCCTCTGTGCACCAAGAAATCCTGAATTGGGAGAAAATAATTTCCACATATCCAAAAAAGAGAATGACAGGTTCACAACTTAAATTTGGTTCAATCACTTTTACCATGGATAAAACATAGTCCCTTAGTAGATTTTCCATCCTTATAAAACAGCTGAAGCCAATTTTATTGTTAGATCTGTTCGGTTTTCTGTAGATGTTGTGTTTTGTTTACAATTTAAAATTGGCTTCAGCTGTTCCATTAGGATGGGAAATCTATTCAGGGACTATGTTTTGTCTTTGTTTTTTTTTTATTTGTCAACTGCAAATGGACTTCAAAAACAGTTAACACCTTAAACTAGGATACTAAAATCTACTTAGAACTACTAGATTTCTGTCATTCATACATGGCAGTAGTGTAGATTTTCCTTCACGTCGTTTTTATCTTCTGTTAGAGAGTAAGACCAATTGTCACATAGGTGTGGGATAGATGAGTACTGGATTAAGTAAAGAGCACAGCACTGCTCTAAGATTTGAACTATTATTTTTAGTATTGCCATTTGAGATGGGGACGCTACCTATGTGCGTATTGTAACTCAAATATAAGTGAAGGATGAATGTAGAATGGAGTGTGATGAGAATGGTGATAGAATGCTTGGCCGAGATTGGAGCTTGTCGGGGATCTTAATTTATAGATAGTCTTAGTATTTTCTTCTTCAAAAGAAAATAAAAATTATTGATGTTTACCTTAGACCACAGGGCTCGCAGACGGACTGGGCCAGTATCTCGCTAGCGACTGTAGGCAGCAACTCTCGTGGCAGCAACACCTCACCACAGGATAACTGTGCAGACTTGGCAGCCCTCAACTCCTCACCTAGCCTCTGGGCCAGAGCTGAACATGCTACTTCCCACTCTGCTTCCTCCGCTACAGACAGAATTACAATTTAGGACTTAGTTTGTAATATCTAGGATCTATATTTAAGCTTTTGGATTTGAGCGTTAAGGATTTAAAATATACAAACCCCAGGAACTCAAACTAGAAAAACCTCTAGAGGCAGCCTGGAACTAGACCTTAACCCTTATCAGATAACTTCATCTTTGTTTTGGGTATAAACGTATCACTGAACTTAATGAGAAAAGAAAACTATTAGGGTCTTGCTACTAACGTATGAAAAGCTCTTTGCAGTTACGGTTTCCACTTCAGATGCAAGTCTTTGTTTTGTTGACAAAGTGTCTGCGCTTGAGGAATGTGTGATGTATAGGGATGAGAGTATTGATAGTGGATGTTTTCAAAACATCCCTATTTTTCTATCATTGTTCAATGTTTTTTACATTGATGACGCTACCAATGTTTTTATACATCAATGTTTTTGTCGAACATCAACGTATTTGGCCAAATATTGAAATAACATTGTTTTCCATAACTGAATTGTATAAGTTTTGACAAAAATTTCATTGTTGGTCTTAACAAGAAACTAAATTTTTGTATGTAACTTATTTATTCAATTGAAAGGCTGATGAAATACTATATATGGAACAGATATCTATCTATCTATCTATCTATCTATCTATCTGTATATCTATATCTTCTATATACTGTTATTAACAACTAATGAAACTAATTTTAAGGCATTTTAAAAGGACCAACATATATATATCCCATTTATATGGACCAGCTCTCGCTAATTTGTTTACTAAATAAGAACGTAGTTGTGAGAACCAGTCACAGAATGTGCTAGTGTCTAAAATTCTATTTTATACTTTATTTTTTGTTGCTGACCAGGTTCTCGAGTCATAACAGTTGCTATTAGACTATAGCTCACCATAAGTCATTCCCTAAGTTTGAATTGGTAAAAAGGTTTGTGCACTAGACAGAATTTAGTAATTTAGATCAGCGCAATCTATAGATGGCTCACATCAACTACCACAATTTTGATAAAAAACCTGGTAACAAATTTAACATGGGGATGGAATGTCTAAGGTCATGATTTGAAATAGTGCCATACTGTTTCCACAGAATGCAGAACAGGAAACTATTTGAATTTTTGGATAAGTCCAAATATATTAAACCCCAATTGCAGCACACCTTTGCACTCAACAACATTTAAATTCTCCTCTATTAAATATGTAAAAATAAAAAGTAAAAACAAAAACCTTAATCAAAGTATTATAAACAATAAAAGGGATGACAATACCTTAAAATATTTTTATCTTTTGTTCTATATACACAATCTAACATAAATTATTAAGTGAATAATAATTGTTCGTCTTAGGTATTTAAAAGCCTCCCAATTTTTCACTAACCCACCACATAATTGTCATTAAAAGAAGGAACTCCAATAATACTACAGTAATGCGAAACTTAAATCTACCCAAGCTGTGCAACGGAACCAGACTGGCAATAAAAAAATGACACAAAACTTGATCGAAGCAACCATCATCTGGAATAAGTTTAAAGGAGAAATAATCTTAATCCCAAGAATACCGATGATTTCATCCAAATTACCCTTTGAATTCAAGCAACTACAATTTCCTTTGCGTCTTGCTTTCCCAATAACCATTATAAGGCAAAAGGCAATGGCTGACTATCGCCACGCCGGTTTTAATTTAGAAAATGCACCCTTTTCACTCGGAAAGCTGTATGTTGCGTGCTCACATGGTGGTAGGTATGCCTAAAAAATTATATATTTATACACCTAATGAAAAAACAAAAATAAACATTGTTTGTCCACTGGCAATTAGGTAAAATAAATATTATATTAATTTTATTAATACATTTTTATTATTTATTGTAAAGAACAAATTACCAATTAACTTGGTATTTATGTAACTTAGTGATATGTCTATATGTGATACATATGTCTAAGGAATGTCGGTCTTATAGTCACTAACAAGACTACAAGATCGCGCCACTCATCTCCATTCATACTTGGCTTAAAATACCAAGCTAGAACAAATTAGCGCAGCAACGCACGCCAGGTAACTGCTAGTAATATAAAAATATCTTTATATTTTACTTGTTTCATGATCTACCACAACATACACAACTTATTGCAGAATCCACTTAGAATCATTTTAGCAACAACTGTATTTATTTCGGTACTTAACTGATACTGTTTTAGAAATATATATCAAAATAAACACTTGTAAATATTTCAACTTGATTTGTAATCAAGTTTAAAGTATAAATAGCACTTCAGTTAAACAAAAAGCAGTGAAGTTGAAGAGAATGATTAAAACAAAAGCATGCAGGTGTGGTATGAGTGTGTCATGATGAATCATACTTGACACATGTGGTATTGGCGTGATCATTATCAAATACCTTACACGTGGGTATACAGTGACATCTGCTACCTTACCAAGTGGCATGTAGGCATGTAACCATAACCTGAATGTGTGACTGACTGGCGTTATATAAACAAGGAAATTAAGTCACATGAGCAAGAATTTAGCAAGGTTTACTTAATAATCGAGAAAGCGCCTTATTTTGCCATGAAACCATACAATTATAATTCCCTAAATAATTCACATTTTGGAGGGATGGCGAAAAACAAATAAATTAAACATACTTTGCATACTTAATTGAGTATGTCTATATGTGATACATAAATCACTATGCCAAGTCTTGTCTTGACAATCTATTTTGTGGGCAAAGAGCATGTATTTTGCTAAAATAGTCAATGTACAAGTTAAGACAAAAAAAATTTTACTTAAAAAATAACAACTCCAAGCTGCCTCTCTCCCCCTTTGATTAAATAAAAATACTCACCTGTGAATTCTGTATAACTCAAAAATATACAGGGTTAGGCAAAAGCCTGGAACCCCCCAGTTAACTTTTTAACGCGTTGCAGTAGGAAAACCAAACTCAGCACATATTTACAACATAAGAGGTCAATATCGCACCCCTAATCAAAATGCCTGTCATTTTGAAATATCCCCTATTAACTTTTTAACAGGTTATAGCAGGAAAACTAAACTCAGTAAAAATTTATAATACCCCCGCCGCAGCAAACCTGCAGACTAAGCGAATTTCCATTTGACTGATTGGATTTACACTGAAATGTCTACTTAAAAATATAACATTTATTCTTGATTTAAATAGAATTAGTTTAACAAGTACTTAGGTTTGCTGCATCAGGGAGGGTAAAACTGTTTTTTTTTTTTGTAAAATGTGAATAGTTAGTAAGAAATAAAAACATTTTCCAAATTTGATCAAAATATGTTCACAAACAAGCAAACTACAACAGTTTACTTATTCTCCGTAAGAATAACATGGGAATTTTAAATGTACAATTTTTGGTATTTTCTCCGTAACCATTAGGCGCATAATAACGCTTCAATATACTAAATTATTTGTTTTTTTAAGCTCTACAAAATGGTTTGGAAAGAAATTGCTAAATTTTATGTTTTTTGGGTCAAAAATGGGAAAAACCTATTTTTACCCCATAAAACCCCCCGTAAACCCCCGTTCCCATGGTCCGATCATGCTGGATCGCGAACTCGTTCGAATAAACGTACGTTTACACGTTTGTACCAAATTTCATCAAAATCGGATCATTTTTGCTCGAGTTATCGTGCTGACGGACACACATATATATATATATATAAATATATAAATATATAAATATATAAATATATATATATATATATGAATTTGAACGGATGGTGTTTTTGGCCTCTAGGGACCTCAAAACGAAAAAAAAAATTGGTCCCGCGTCCAGGTCTTACCATGAGTATTACGGTAATAGCTTATTCCCTATATGGGAAATTCGCTAAAAAAAAGAGAATTCACCTTTTGGTCAGTATAAAATATTAAATTTTTAAAGTTAACTGGGGGTGTCCAGACCTTATCTTGCCTGATCATCTTAAATAATTAAAATGGCTGCCATTTTGATTAGGGGTGCAATATTGACTTCTATTTTGCGCCATTCAATTTCTCTTGTTAAACCCTTTAAAATGAAGGGTCACATGATACATTTGAAAATTTGGGGCTGCCCCCAAAATACCCCATTTTGGGGGCTGGGGCAAAGTTGTAACTTTGATGAAAAAGTATGATTTCTTATGTTGTAAATATGTGCCGAGTTTGGTTTTCCTACTGCAACGTGTTAAAAAGTTAACTGGGGGGTTCCAGACTTTTGCCTAACCCTGTATAATAGGGCAAAGGCCTATTTTTAACCATATGATTCTTAAGTTTTGTCATTTACTATTGGATACTAAAGTAGACATCCCATATATATGCACCAGCTGTAGGCAATTTTTTATTGACAAGAACACAGTAGTAACATAATGGCTAAGATATAAGGTTCAATTTTCTGCCTTACTTTTTGTTGCTGACCAAGTTGATGAGTTCCTATATATATATATATATATATCATATAGCTCACAATTATTCATTCCATTAGTTTGACTCAGTAAAAAAGTGTGTGTGTTTTAGTCAAAGGTTTTAGTAAAGTATGTGATTCCATGTTGAACTAGAGTGATTAGATAAGCACACAATATGGGAACTCATGTTACCACCAGTTAGTCAATATATTTTAAAAGCAGAAGTAGTGTGCATGATTATCCTTCACTGAAGCTCAGAGTAATAAAACATAATTTTTGTTTTATATATATATATATATATATATATTATATATATACACATAATTTTGTTTTATTACTCTGAGACTGAAGTCATATTTTTATGTATTTTGGATCTATTCATGTTTTTATTCAATAAACTATTTCCTATCTCATCTATTATAACCTACTTTCAAAAGTGGTAAAGTACCTATATTTTTTGAGCGGAGCGAGCGAAGCGAGCGAAGCTCTTATACGTCGACTCTTATGCATTTCGTAATACGCAAACTCCTCCTAGACGGCTGAATCAATCGTTTTCAAATTTTGCACGGTGATAAAGGCCATATCGGTGAGTGCCAACATCTATATGGCGTTAAAAAAGTCTCTCAGGAATCCGCCCCACTGGGTCTCAAAGTTTCAATGTAATCCTTATGGAAGCAGTATTTGACACATAAACAAAGTCATATGATCAGCTGTTTTTGAATGCAGTAAATAAAGAAAAAGCTGATAGCATTATTCCACAGATATTAGAACAGAAACGGTATGGATCGTAAATATAATCAAATTACGACACTAGCTTGAGGTCCTTGACGTAGAAAGTGGTGAAGGAAGTAGTAAAGGCAAGCAGTTCGGACTGTGGAAACTGTTTGTGACGATTAGATTAAGGCATCTGCAATCCTAAAATGCTATGGAAAGGAAGGGAAACAGGTCCGTGACGTAGGAAGTGGTGAAGGTAGTAGTAAAGGCGAGCTGTTCGGGGCGTGGGATGTGTTTATGACCGTTATATTAAGGTACCTGCAATTCTATGATGCTATGAGAAGGGCAAGGGAGGGAAACAGGTCCGTGACGTAAGAAGTGGTGAAGGAAGTAGTAAAGGCAAGCAGTTTGGACTGTGGAAACTGTTTGTGACGATTAGATTAAGGTATCTGCAATCCTAAAATGCTATGGGAAGGGAGGGAAATAGGTCCGCGATGTAGGAAGTCGTGAAGGAAGTAGTCAAGGCGAGCTGTCCGGAGTGTGGAACCTGTTTATGAAGATTAGATTAAGGCATCTGCAATCCTAAAATGCTATGGAAAGGAAGGGAAACAGGTCCGTGACGTAGGAAGTGGTGAAGGAAGTAGTCAAGGCGAGCTGTTCGGGGCGTGGGATCTGTTTATTACAATTAGATTAAGGTATTTGCAATCCTAATATGCTTTGGGAAGGGAGGGAAACAGGTCCGTGACGTAGGAAGTGGTGAAGGAAGTAGTAAAGGCAAGCAGTTTAAACTGTGGGAACTATTTGTGACGATTAGATTATGGTATCTGCAATCCTTAAATGCTATCGGAAGCGAGGGAAACAGGTCCGTGACGTAGGAAGTGGTGAAGGAAGTAGTCAAAGCGAGCTGTCCGGAGTGTGGGAACTGTTTATGATGATTAGATTAAGGTATATGCAATCCTAAAATTCTATGGGAAGGGAGGGAAACAGGTCCGTGACGTAGGAAGTGGTGAAGGAAGTAGTAAAGGCGAGCAGTCCGGAGTTTGGGAACTGTTTATGACGGGTATATTAAGAGATCTGCAATCCTAAAATGCTATGGGAAGGGAGGAAAACAGGTCCGCTACGTAGGACGTGGTGAAGGAAGTAGTCGAGGCGAGCTGTCTGGAGTATGGGAACTGTTTATGACGATTAGGTATCTACTATCGTCTGTGGCAGTTAGATTAATGTATCTTCAATCCCAAAATGCTATGAGAAGGCAAGGAAATAGGCCTCACGACGGAGGACGTGGTGAAGGAAGTATTAAAGGCTGGCAGTGCAGAGTGGGGGAACCGTGTGGGCAGTTAGATAAAAGTATCTGTAATCTTAATTGTTATGAGAAGGGAAGGAAACAGGTCCATGACGTAGGAAATTGTGAAGCAATTAGTAAGGCTAGCAGGGCAGATTGTGGAAACTGTCTTTGGCCATTACATTAATGTATCTGCAATCCTAAAATGCAATGGGAAGAGAGGGAAACAGGTCCACGACGTAGGGGGTGATGAAGGAAGTAGTAAAGGTGAGCAATGTTGAGTGTGGGAATTTATTAATGTATCTGCAATACTAAAATGCTATGGGAAGAGACTGTAGACTGTGTAGGTTAAAATGATTACGAAGCACGAATCGATACATATTTTAGATCTTTTACAATCGAACTTTACAACTGAGTTGACAACAACTGATTTTTACTCCATAGAGGCTAAAAACGATTTTTACTCCCTAAAGAATAAAAATGCTACTTTAGACCCGCAACGCATGCATAAAAAACTACTGTTTTACTGCTGTATGATAAAAAACAATATAATATGAACCCTTGATGACTCCGCTCAAATTTGTGGATGCCTCTGCGAACGCCACCTAGTAAATAGGTAGTTCAATCAAAGTAAGTTGTCTTCATAATACAGTAAGCATAGCTTTGTTTACAAGCAGAGAGGTTTATTATTCCAGTTAATTAATTTAATTGCTAAAAGTACAGTAATATGATTTATTTTAATTTAATTTCAGCTGTTCTTAGAACATGGATGTAGTACAAGAGTTATAATAAAATGGTATCAGCAATCTGACACATACTTTTCCCCAAGAGATTACCAACAAACCCTTATCAGATGAAAGTATGGCATTTTATGAACCATAAAATACTAAACTTAACCGTAATTGGTGAAGCCTTTTTTACAAAAATTTAAACTGTTTGTTATTTTATGTTTTTATGGGGAAATTATAATAATTACCCGCTATTTTTACAGCAATTAGGGTAACCACTTTATTTAGAGTTAAAAGGGTTAACATGGGCTTTCAATCCCTAGGTTGCTAAGGTGATCATTTTTGTTGGTCTGAGCAAATTTACAGTATCATGACACATTGAATTGAAACTACAACTCTAGATGTACCTATGTAGTTTGTTTAGAAACATAAGTCTTAGTTCTACACCTACCTAACAAGAGCGTATGAAGTTGTATAGTTACTACATACCTTCTACTATAGATGTATACAAATCCAGAGTCATGTTAGACGGTAAATTCTGCACAGCAATCATAATAAATCAGAACCCGATAAATCTGACAACTTTCTTACAAAGAACAAAGAAGCTCGCATCCAAAGTTGCTATAGGACTTAGGTCTACTCCATCCCCAGGTGAAGCGTAGCCCAAACTCCAAACACTCTGCATTGGCAGTAAAAGTCAAATAAAACAGCTGATGCTGGTCGCTGGTGCACAAAGGAAAGCCGGTCCACTGGTCCTGGTCCTGCCCCTCTATTCCTTCTCCTTCATCCCCTCGTCTAGGTCTAACTTCCCCTCAATTCGTCATGCATTGTGAGTGTGGGGAGAGGGGAGGGGAAGTATTTCTCCCTAATGTTCTTTCTCCCCTCTGTCTGGCTCTCCGACTCTCCCAACAATGACCAAGCCGAGCAATCAAATTGTTACTCAACGTATCGTTATCGTTGCGAATGTATACTTGGTAAATTGGGCTTCGTTTAGATAAACTACAAGTTTTGTCTATACTGTATTCAGTTGCAACGTAGGATTTGTTCATAAAGTACTGTATTTGAATTTAACTATTGTTATTTCTATACTGTATTTTGGTTAAAATTCACCGGATCACATAAACTTATAAATGTTATTAGAAAATGTCTTCGATGTTTTGTAACTCTAAACACTGTCATTAGAGGGCAATGCTCAAATGGTTTGTAAAAAACTAGGTCATCGATGACACAAAAATTTCGCCCCCCCCCCCCCTAGTTCCTCGGCTAGAGACAAAAAATATACTGTACTAGCTAATATACAAATATTTTCTCCTGTCAAATCCTAAAAAGCACGGCAAACAAAAATCTGCCTATTCTTGAACAGTAATTTGAACGGAAAGTAAATAAAGATACGTCTTATAACACTTGTACATATATTTACGCTTATACTTTTTTATTACTGTCTTTTGTATATTTACCGTCTTGTGAGTAACAGTACGAGCGTAAATATATGTTTTAAGTGTTATAAGACGTATCTTTATTTACTTTCCGTAAATTTAATAACACGTACAATGCTGATATATTTAGTAATTTGAAACAAAAATATTATTTTTTAGTGTCTCAGTTTCATTTTTTTTTAGTGTCTCATTTTGAGTTTACATAAATTAGTAGTTTTGTTATTCGTTTACTTTTTCTGTTTGGTTCTGTAAGATCAACCACTTTTCTAGTTTATCTATACATAAATATGCAGATTTTTTAGAAGCATTGCTTTGTCATTTACTATTTACTTTTATGAATTATTTAAGCATTAAAATTATACACGTGTATCAATTTTACGTAATTTATTTTGAAAATTCTAAAACTACCAGTTCAATATAGTTAAATAGAACCTTTTGTACTTTTGTACCAAATTATTTTATTGATAATAAAATTTGATATGCTTTTAAGCACTTAAATACTTGTGTTTTATTTAAAAACCAAAATAAACTGTTATAAAATAGGCTATAAATACAACCGTATTCATTGCTATAGGTCTAAATGTTGTACAAGAGAAATTGGTCATGAATCTAATAACAAACATAATATTAAAATAATATTAATAATAATAATAACAATAATATTATAATATTATATAATATTAATATATTAACATGGAACTATTGATCACGTTTCTTAGATGGCTAACTTACCAACATATTATTATGTTTCTGTCTGTTGTCAATAATTTTGTCAGTTTCATTAATTTTCTGTCTAATATAAACTTAAATATATTTTACTCATTTTGTTTTTATTCGTAGTTCTTTTGACAATTAAAATAAGCTTAAACCACTCTTATTTGTTTCAAAACTGCAAAATACCCCCCAAGAATTTGGTGAAATGATGCCACTGAATTTAGGTTTGGCAATAAGGGCACTAAATGTTGTTTTTATTTGAAATGTATTATCATTTTCAGAATCCTCATTAAATTTCCAATAACAATAGTACAAAGTCATTGGGATTTAACATCTGTATAAGCCCTGTAATTTGTTAGCCATATTATCTAAGCAATTGCAATTATTTTGAAAAAATCTTATTTTGTCTGTTATAGCCAACCTGTGAGGGTATGGAAACCTAAATTGGTGCCATTTGTTCACTAATAGTTTAACACATAAAAAGTGTAACACTAACTTCATTCCACCCTGTATAACTAAACAGTAAAGCACAAATCATGAACTTAACCCTAAAATAAGTTTTTCATTTGATGATTATGAAATTTGTTCCGATATTAAATTTCAAAATGGCGGCCTTAAACTAAAATAACTCAAAAACGGCTAATTTTATAAAAAAATTCAAGAATACTTTTTTTAGCATTTTAATTCCCTATCAAACGATACCAAGATCAAAAAGATCGGGCAGATAACTGAAATACAAAGTTTTTTGTGTAAAAATAAGGCAAAATTAAGGGGTCCCCGACTAACTTTGCCATATTTTTACACAAAAAAACTGTATATTTCAGTTATCTCTTGTCCGATCTTTTCGATCTTGGTATCATTTGATAGGGAACTAAAAATTCCAAAAAAAGTATTCTTGAAATTTTTATAGAATTAGCCGTTTTTGAGTTATTTATGTTTAAGGCCGCCATTTTGAAATTTAATATCGGAACAACTTTATTATTTTTTCTATTATAGGTCTTGTGTATGTTAACATGGTTACCAAATTCCATAATCATCAAATGAAAAACTTCACAGATAAAAATTCTTTTGTATTAAAAACAAAATGGCGGATAACTGGGTAAATATGCATTTTCGAACATATCTTCAAATAAACGTTTTTCTTCCTTTTAGTTTGAGAATTCATTTCCCAAAGTCCTGAAACGTTTTTTATCAACACCCTGTATAGTTGAGAAATTCGAGTAATATAGGGAAGTACAAAGTTAACCCCCCCCCCCCCCCCACACCACTGTCTAGTTCCCCGACCCCGTATATTTAGCTATCGTATTTTTAACTGGCAGTTTCTTAAGTTCTACTACCCTACAAAAACACATGTGTTAGCCAACGTTATAACTACTGTAGTTGATGTTGATACAGTAGTTATTTTTGGAATAACATATCCAGGTCTGGATATTAGCATACATAATTTCGGAACACATTCAGGTTAGGGTGTTAACATACAAGCAGACGTGTAGAACCGGAAGGGTAAGTCAAGGATATTTATACCACAATATCTGGCCGTTGGACCTTGCTGTGTTAACTATTTGGTCGTCTTTGACCTCGCGAATCCGGCGTTTGGCAGCGAGAGCAAGGTTTTCAGCACAAGCGGAGGCAAAAGTCATACAATCACCGAAAGTAAAATACTCTGTTATGTATCCAGATACGTGAATTTATTAATAGATGTTTCGCTATTCAAAGTTCTTCATGAGCCGATTTATATCATGTCGATGTCTTTATTCAGGGATACATTGATATGATCGTCAATTGACTTTTTATCTTTTAATTTTTTGATACAACGATAAAATATAAAAATTTAAAAGGAAGATTTCTTTTCTATAACACTGTATTGGGTATTGGGTCTAAATATAAGCTAAATTGGCAATCAATCTACTATTGCCTTAAGTACTTTCCATGTTCGATTATTCCCTTCAGGCACTAGCACTATTAGGGTTCTATATTGACTCCATTGTTGGTACGTAGAATATCACTCATGTTAGACCTTTTCTCAGACTGTGGTTACTACGATTGGGTTCTTGTTGTACGATTATTAGACCTTTCCTCAGACTGTGGTTACTACGATTGGGTTGTTGTACGATTGTTAGACCTTTTCTCAGACTGTGGTTACTACGGTTGGGTTCTTGTTGTACGATTGTTAGACCTTTTCTCAGACTGTGGTTACTACGATTGGGTTGTTGTACGATTGTTAGACCTTTTCTCAGACTGTGGTTACTACGGTTGGGTTCTTGTTGTACGATTGTTAGACCTTTTCTCAGACTGTGGTTACTACGATTGGGTTCTTGTTGTACGATTGTTAGACCTTTTCTTAGACTGTGGTTACTACGATTGGGTTCTTGTTGTACGATTGTTAGACCTTTTCTTAGACTGTGGTTACTACGATTGGGTTCTTGTTGTACGATTGTTAGACCTTTTCTTAGACTGTGGTTACTACGATTGGGTTGTTGTACGATTGTTAGACCTTTTCTCAGACTGTGGTTACTACGATTGGGTTCTTGTTGTACGATTGTTAGACCTTTTCTCAGACTGTGGTTACTACGGTTGGGTTCTTGTTGTACGATTGTTAGACCTTTTCTTAGACTGTGGTTACTACGATTGGGTTCTTGTTGTACGATTGTTAGACCTTTTCTTAGACTGTGGTTACTACGATTGGGTTCTTGTTGTACGATTGTTAGACCTTTTCTCAGACTGTGGTTACTACGATTGGGTTGTTGTACGATTGTTAGACCTTTTCTCAGACTGTGGTTACTACGGTTGGGTTCTTGTTGTACGATTGTTAGACCTTTTCTCAGACTGTGGTTACTACGGTTGGGTTCTTGTTGTACGATTGTTAGAGCTTTTCTCAGACTGTGGTTACTACGATTGGGTTCTTGTTGTACGATTGTTAGACCTCTTCTCTGCTCTTTATTCTGTGGTTGAGCAAAATTTGCGGAGGTGGTTTACATCCATCTTGGACCCCTGTATTCGAATCCAAGAACGTTGCAAAGAGCATTTCTTATTTATAGCTCTGTAAAACGTCGAGGTTTTAAAATTTCGTTCAAACTCTTCATACACTTTATTTTGAATTATAAAGTCTCTTAAAACGCCAAACTGTAAGGTTCTGTTCGTTGTAAGTTCCATATTTTTATATGTTTTTAGACAATTATGTTATTGTTAATACTACGATATTTTTTCAAATCGTATGGATAAACAATGAGACCAAAACCCATTGTGCATTACATAGTTCAGGGCCAAATCATTGAACTCATCGCCAACAATAGCTCAAAATAGCAATGCTTGCTGGCATGCAAGACAATAATAATAGAATTGTCGTATTCGAATATTGTTGGAGAATCAAAATCAGTTTGAAATAAAACAAAAGAATTTTTTTTATATCCTTTCCCACACCCCTGTCTTTTACGTGTCTGTATCAATTGTAATATCAAATATTACTGGGTACAATAGTTGGTGGATTCTTTCAAAGATGTTTTATAAGTGGCAGACTGTTGGTTTTTCTGAACCTTGGAGAGTCAACATTCGGATTCGAGTGCTTACTTATCTTTGTTTGTGACAGATTTGTTTACATTAGACCGGTTTTGACCGGATTCTACGGTTCATGCAACAAATACTGTTAGACAACGTGTAGTTCAAGTTTTGACTAATAAAAAATTGTAATTTCGTATATTAATTGTATTTTGAACTCAAAATTAGTTATAGCATAAATACATATAACAATACTGTATCACCGACTGTATCACTTACTTCAGCGTCATATTTGACATACTCTTAAAAAGTGTATCCTTATGGATCAGTTAAAGGCAGTTTGATGTATGTTTCTGTTTTTATGTAAAGTTTGAGTATTTATTCATGTTTACTCTATGTTTATTGATAGTTCGCCAGCTTCAAATCATTTTAATCATTTAAATAATTTGTTTCTACCCTGTATTGTTTGGTACTATTAACAAAGAGGAGAGTGCACTCTGATTAACCTAAAACATTTAGTTAAAATATGGCACTCAACATTTAACGAACACACACACTTGACACTCGATATTACAAAAAATTGCCGCTTGAAATCAAATTAAAAATGACATGTTTGTATCATTGTAGTTAAAAAAATAATAAACTTACTTCACCATTTCTTAAAACCCAATATTAGTATAGGTATTGCACTTGTACGTATTTCATCCTCTTTTTTTCAAACAAAACTTAAACCCGAAAACCAACAGTCAAATACAAATATTACTGTATATTTCTTTTGTATATTTTCTGCATATTTTTTCTGTGTATATTTCTTATTTTTAAATATTGGGTTTATGATAAGTTGAACTTCAAATGTATTCTTATTTGAAAAATTGTATTATAGTACGCGTGATTGGGTGTGGTTTAAGATTCATCCAATATAACTTCGTAATCCCATTCAGAAATACACTAAAGAAATCACAGACAAATTTATATTCTAAAACACACGATAACCTACTAAAAACGTCACTTAAAATTCCTTATATCAAGTAGAACAATCAAAAAATATATTTAATATACACATAGATAAAATACGATAAGTGAGTAAGTGACAGAGAGGGGCACAGCTCTGTTATCGGCCTGAAGCTGACCTTTAGTCGACAATCCAATTCAGTCATCGATAGATCGATGATCTTTGCTATGACCAATACCTCTGTCTTAGTTGTTGACCCCTCACCCCTGGAATTTTGTTTTTCTGTCTGTTGGTACGGTCAGTAGGTTTAATATGACTTAAAATCCAATTAACAGATATTTTACTTTCCTACCGTTTTTTGCAGTTACATTGAGTTTTTCAACACTCTTAAATGACCGAGCTTAGAATAGTAATGTTGTGCGGTGTAGGTACTTTGACCATCGGTACCCCCTTTCTCATACTGTATTATCTTTTAAGTAAATTTTCTTCCCCTCTAAAATTTGCCAATTTTGTTGAAAAAGGGTTCCTGGCCACTGAGAAATTTGAATATTCGAAAAAAGCGTACAGCGAAAAAGCGTATTGGCTTTTTTTAAACATCTTTCTTTCTTATTCCTTTAGGCCTACAAAACAAATTAGTAATCGCATAAGAGCTTATTCTGGCGATAAAATTTTCATTAGTATCACCTTCTGTACTTTAATTAATGCTATAATTTAAGTCGCATATAGTGATGGGATATACAATTTTGTATTAGTTTCCTGTAGTAATTCAATCGATTATCGGATTGAGTCAATCTTGGCTACAAACTCAATTCGAAGACAGTTGGGCAGGAACTTGTTATATTTTCAGGCCGGCTAGGATAGGGACTACGCACGACATATTCAGTGCAGGGACTTCCGAAGGGGGGGATGGAAATGTCCATTCTGTACTACACCCTCAGCCTCCTAGAAAAGCAAACAGCAACGGCAACGGCCCTTGTCTCTTTCCTACCAGCCTGAGGGATTTCCCCCTATATAGGGAAATTTGGTTTCTTATGGTATCAAATTCGTTATTTGAATGCTCACCAGTTTATTAGTTTGCCCGGAGAGTATACTGTATATACGTTTATTACGTTATATTATAAATAAATAACAAAATTAAGAACACTAACACTAGTATTCTATATTATTATTACTATACATTAGGCTATATATATGTATGTTTTATATATATATATAACATAAATATGTATAAATATATATATATATATATATATATACTCATTCGTAATATAATTCATACAATATCAAATGATTTCCATTTTATTTCAATATTATTTTTTTACTAATTTTTAGTTACTAATTTACTAACGTTTACTGTAATATAATCCCACTAAATTAGAAATAATGGGAACTTTTAATGGGAAATTTTAATCCCCAAAAAACAAAAAGGTTCACTAATCTCAAGCATGGAAAGAACCCGGGTCTCCACAGGTACGTACCTGTGGAGGAGGACGCTGACTCATGTTCTGACTCATGTGACTTAGCGACTCTGGAATGTGGCCTGCAGCCATCCCACCCCTAGTTGTACCTTGTACCATTGTTATTTTCCACTAAATTTTTCATTCTCTGCAGTCTCTGTTTGAACAGTGAACACCATACAAGTCAGATCGGATGTCGGAGTTAGATATAATTGTGTGTATATATAGTAGTGTTTTAGTAAATAGTGTTGTGTTAGTGTGATAATTATGATTAGGTCAAAAAGGAAAATAAAACATCATTAAGGACAATTTTGTGTGCCGTTGTGTAAAAACATTGAAAAGTGGAGAGCAGCGTTGGCGTTGCAGTATCATGCTCAGCGTCACTTTGCACGTTGGAAGGAGGAAAGCTGTTTTCCAGGCTAGAGGGATTGCATAACCATGCTGCTAGGAGTAAGTGTTTATTTTTAGTGGTTTTTAGCGAATTTCCCTTTAGGGAAGTAGCTATTACCGTAGGTCTCATGGTAAGACCTAGGCCCGGGACCGATTTACTTTTTCATTTTGATGTCCCCAGAGGCCAAAAACACCATTCGTTCAAATTTGTATATATCTATATATAGATATATATACAGGGTGTTTTTTTTTTTTTAACTTGCATCTTTATGTATGTAAAAACCGCAATAGATAGAAATATGCAGTTGGCAGGAATCATCTATTGACGTAGGGGGCACATTTTTTTAAAATTCAACGTTACATTCACATTCCCCCCTTTTCCCCCTTCCCACAACTTATTTTTTTTAAATAGCAAGGTACTCCTTGTAACATATCAAATAAAAGAGCATGAAAAAAAGAAAATGTTTGATGAAAAAAATGAAAATCGGTTCATAAATTTGTGAGATATTCCCCCCCTTCCCCCCCCGGAACTTAATTTTTTTTAATAGCAAGGTACCCCATTGTGACATATCAAATGAAAAATAAATTTCACCAAACATTTTCTTTTTTCATGCTATTTCATTTGATATGTCACAAGGGGTGGTACCTTGCTATTAAAAAAATAAGATCCGGGGAGGGGGGTGGAAATATCTCGCAAATTTATGAACCGACTGAATCATGTGTTACAAGTTTTTCCTTTATTGTCTTTATGAGTTTAATTTCATTTTTCCGAGAATTATTTTTATGTTTCTTACTATCTAAAATAGATTTTACTTTCTTATCTATTACATATCTCACATAATTTCTGGAGTTTTCGTCATTAATGGAACAAATTGCAATTTCAGCATTCAGTATTTCAGATATCAAATTTTTATTCCAATTTCCACCTGATAAACTATGTTTTAGTCCTTTGTTAAGAATGCTCATTTCGTCGTCAGTAAAAACGACATCTGTGTAGTTTTTAACTCTTGGGTAAAATTGATGATTTATTAAAAACTGTTCAATGGGCTTAGCTTGTTGTTCAACTAATTTATCTAATTTCTTTTTCTGGGTTTTCTTTTTCTGGAAGATAATTCTATTGACTTTATTGTCAATATTATTGATTACTTGATCAATTTGTGATGGGTGCAATGCGTTCAATAGTTCTAAATGTTTTCTCATAAGTAAAGTATTTAGCAAATTTTTCTTTCTGTATAAATATTTAAGTTCGTTTTTGACCCATATTACTTCTGCCAACGACTTAACTTTCTTAGCTACAAAACTTTTATTCTTAATTTTTATTTGTACATAGTTTGGTATTACATTCATGTCTAGGCATGTTTTGTTGAATTTTATGTTCTGACCTGTGCAAAGTAGTAGTCTTGACGACATTTTAGAAGTGGCAGTGTTTAAATTTTCTTCTACAAGATCTGATGACGAGGAGTATATCCATAAGGACTATACAGGATCACTCTGGCAGTACGCATGTAAATTTATAGTTTTTAAAGTTTGTTCTGTGGAAAATAACGTATTTCATACCAAGCTACTAAGCTTTTTTATGTGTGTATGTCCGTTAGCACGACAACTTCAGTTAAATATCCAATTTTGATGGAATTTGGTGGTAACTTATAAACCTACGTTTATTCAAATGAGTTCGTGAACAAGCTTAATCGTATTTTAGGTATGGGGTTGTTTTGCGGGTTAATATTTTTATCTCGACCGCCATAACAAAAGTTTTGCAATTCCCTTCCAAACTATTTTGTGGGGCTAAAAAACAACAAAAAACAAACAATCTAGTATTAAAGAGATGTCGTTTAACTATTGAATACGGTGAAAAATTCCAAAAATAAGAGTAAATTAAAAATTTTCTGTGATTGTTACGAAGAATAAATCTAGATTATTGATGAATTTTAATCAAGCTAGGATAATATTTTTTACTAGTTTACCTGTTGCTCGAATTCGAGCAATTGCTAATTATTACAGGCGTTATTTTAAAATGAATATCAGTCATAATTTCTGATGACTTTTAAAGATTCGACTCAAAGATTATGGAAATACTCAAGATGTACATAACAGATCGATATAATCAACATTTCTTGTAAATATATTATACTTTTTCAAAAGCTGATCTTGTTTTTTTGTGTTTTCTACAAATATCCTTACTCATAGTCATATTAGGTTGTCCATAATAACGATTATAAATTCTAAAAAAATATTATTTCTATTTCTTCTCCTTGGTGGTGTTTCATGTATTTCCTATGTTTCGAGAGTTTGCAAATCGGATCTTTCAATGATTACTTAAGAAATCAGAAGATTCACTTAAGATTCAGTGTTAATAATTCAGTTTTCTTTTTAGTATATCAATTTATCCAGGCTCTCTCGCTGTTTTCCATTGTAATATTTATGCCAACTCGAATTCAAATAGTAAATATTTCATTTCAACCAAGTCAGTAAATGTTTGTAGCAAACTGTTAAATTAGCAAACTTATTGACTGTTGTACAATTAACATATGTTCTTCTTTTCACTTTTAATTTCTAACAACAGCTAGAGTTTCATAATAATATTTGTTTCCCATGTTAATCACATGGATAAATACGAAACTTTAAAGGGCCCCAAGGCCTCACTCTAATTATTTCCCTAAAAAAAAAGGTTTCCTGCACAACTTCACGTTACGCTATTTCCAATGACACCAAAAGCATGTTAATCGGTTCAGTAGTTTCGGAGGAGTAATTGTCACAAAAAACCTGCTTGCGTATGAAATAAGTACGAGAGATCGCCCCATGGTCAAAAACAAGACCGAAAGTATGTATTTTGAAACCCACGCTCTAAATAAAACATGTGATTGGAATTTCTTTAATTTGTTTAGATTTTTGTTTATATTTTGTTGTTATTTCATCACCATCATAGCAACCATAAGGTCCATGTTAATTATCTTAAAATTTAAATTCATTTTTTGTGCTTATTTTTGAGCCTTTTTTAATTTATAAAGGGATTCTGCACATCTACAGGAAAATATCTTTCATTTGGTACCAACCGCATGTAATTCGGTCCAGTAGTATGGTCAGGCTAGCTGTCATACGTTTTGCAAAAGTTTTTTAGTATATAAGATAGATTTCATTTCAAGCTATCAATTGTTTTAATAAAACCCCTTTTTAACTTTCCCTGTATAAGCAAACCTAAGCACACATTATTAGCAGTTTTTCCTAGTCGGGTAGGATATTGTTTTATAACCGCCCACCTATTGTTGACATCCAAAAGCGGCAGCGGCGAAGCGAGCTAGCGCCCTTTGACCCGGCTTATCAGTTCGGATAAGCCTGTCTGATCCTGGAACTACAGGATAGCCTAGGAAGGACATTCGAGTCGTGGTTTTGGAGCAGTTCGCTTGTGTCTGGTGGAGACGTCGCGTCGTCGAGTGCGAGTTGACGCGGACATCGGTGTAGTTGGTATACCTTGGTGATACCGGTGAACACTGAACAGTATCGGAGAGCAAGACCCGCTATATAGTAGTGAGTGGCAACTTTCCTTTAATTTTGCTATAGGATTTGATAGTTAATATTAGTATATTCATCTCTGATTTTATTGGTTAAGTTGTAACCGTTCTGGTCAAAGCCTGTCGGTAGTTAGGACTTACAGGTGTCAGGAATAATATTAAAGTATATTCCTGACGGTTCTGGGCAATTACCAAAGCGCAAATTATATATATATATATATATGTATGGAATTTGGTAAATATTATTTTGCTTTGTGACAAGAGTAAATTATCTTACTGGTAACTCTGATGCCCGAAAAACCTAGTCTACAGGATTGGGCGTGTATAGTTGACCACAAGTGGCCGGTATGCTTGTAGATATTTTACTAGCCTAATAAATAGAGGCTGAAATGTCGCTTCTTGTATTGCCAGACTTTGTTTGGGTTTGAAAAACAAAAGTTTTTACTAATAGTAATGTAAAGTAAAAGTAATGTTAATAGTAATGCAATACCATGTAAATACCGTACTTGAGGCAAACTTCGCCCTTAAATTATCAAAGTGTTTAGGATATGATAATTGTTCAAGGGACAATTGTTTCCACTGAAACAGTAGGAAAACTTCAGTTAATATACGTTTTGAATTATTTTGATGTTTGCCTCAGAAGCTTTATTTTCCTATATCATGTCAAAAGTGTAAGAAAATAAATAGCTAATTAAACGTATATCTATAAAAACGCCTACTAATAAAAACAATGTTTACCAAATTCTATATATGGACAGAGGGGGGTAGCGGATTTCTACCCCCGGATATTTACCCCCATGAAAAAACGCCTACGTCATTTTGACGTCACGAGGGGCGGAGCTTATACATGTTCGAGAAACTGCCCGCGACTGGAAATCTACCCCCGGACATCTACCCCCGGACATCTACCCCCGGACATCTACCCCCGGAAATCTACCCCCCGTGGTCAGCTCTGCCGCGTATCGGCCAACATTCATTGTTGTAATTGATTTTATAAATTGCTGTACCTTCTTATACCCAGTAGTAAACCATATTTATAATTCAATAAGTTGTAGACCTAACAGTCCTTTTCAACCCGACCTACTTCACTGACTTTTACAATTGAGGTGTCATTTAAAAGCTTAAGATCTAGCACAGCACAAAATGGTACGGTAATTAAAAGGATATTTCGATTAGGGCTTCAAGAGGTTGACC